CGGATGAGGTGTTGTTGGCAACCACGAGCTCCGCGAGCGGCGTGACGGGTATCTGCGGCGACTGCGATACTCTCATCTCCTCCTCGCGTTGCTTCTTCTTGCGGAGCATGAAGTCCTTCAGCGACAGCTTGACTTTGGGTGGTGGCGGCGGTGGAGGCGGCGGCGGCGGCGAAACGATGGATGATGGAGTCGGAACGTCCTTGGTAACCGGCCGATCAAACGTGGCATACGATAGCCCAGGCGCAGGGACAGAGGGTAGTGACGCGCCGCATGCAAACGAGTCCAGTAAATTACTTGGACTACGCTGTGGCGCACTTTCTACGCCTGCAGCATGAGTCCAACTGCCATAGTAACGAACCGGGGAGGGCTCCCTCCAAAATGGAAGGAAATCTTGAGAAGATTCTTCGTGCTCTCGCGCATGGTGTAGTGTAGGAGCGGCGACGGTCGACACAGCTGGTGGGGAGTGTTCACGCCTGGAGATTGAGGGGGTGAAAGCAAGAGCGTCGTCTTGCGGCTGAACGTGGGCAATCGGCGCACTTTCTATTCTTGCATCTGCAGTTGGAGGGATGTTGGTGGTCAACGGCGAAGGCGAGGATGAGCGTCGATGTAAAACGGCTGGAGGGGGACCACGAGGAACAGGTGAGCGTAATGATAAATTAGCGAACGGAATGCTTGGTGATATCGAAACGCGCTCGTCGCACGCAGGGGTCTGAGGTAACTGCACGGAGATGGCAGGAGTAGTGGGCGTCGACGGCGCGGGTGGAGGTGGTGGAGGCATCTGGATAGAGTCTAAAACGGAACAAAAACTCAGTTGGAGTATACGAGCCCACGCGCTCCCAAACTCACCAGCGGAGCTATCATCTACTTCCATACTATCAGCCTGTGCCTGTCCCTCCCCGTCTCCGGTGCCGCTCGAACTGCCCATGTCCCCGCGCACGTGTGCATCGTGCGCGATCGAATTCCGCAAGGCCTCGAAGCTTTTGTGGATCCAGGCTTTGCGCATCCTCGGCGGCAACAACATTTCATCTCGGTCCACGTCCATGGCGTTGGGTGATCGGAAGTGATCAGAGGTCGGGGAGATTGAGGCGGGGTCGATGGTGACGCGCCGGCGATCACGGCGCGGTCGCTCTGTCAATATTTGCGTAAGACCGACGTCAACTGAGACGGTACACGAAACAACGCACCGTAGTCCTCATTCACGGTTACCTCCTCATCTGTCGCCTTTCCCTTCCCTTTCCGATCTTTAGACTTGAACTTCGTGGTCCTTGTGGTCTCCGCGGCTTCTGGTACAGGAACCCGCTGCGGGGTGTTGCTCGTCTCGCGGCGCTCGTTGGTGTGCACTTCGTTCGAAATGACCGTCGAAGGGCTAGCATTTTGTTCAAAAGTGCAGTCTGCCTGAGAGGGAGATGACGGCACCATCTCTACGCCGCCGATGCCGCCCGCACGCGGCACACGCTCCCTCGTCCTGAAGCCCCTCTCCACGCCGATCAAGGGACCCAGGTCGACCTTTAAATCTCCGGAACCTGCATTCTCCCCTTCCCGTACCTCCGATACGGCACGATGGGGTTCGAAGACTGCATGAGGGCCGGAGAAGTTAGTGTCAAAGTTCGTCGGGGGTGAGGGCGACGGCGTAGGTGGCGTCTGCCCATCGACGAACGCCGCCATGCGGTTGAGGGCACAGTCGCTCGCAGAGGCCCCGCACGCACACGTGGTGAAGGTGGACGAGAGGGCGTGCAGCATGGATGTCATTTGGAGCCGAAAGTAGTCGATCTGCCGCGGACTGCGAAAGGAAGTGAGTCAGATTCGGGCGACGACGATGAACGCGACGCACGGGAACGTATGCGGGCTCTCGATGAGTGCAGGGAGGTGATGAATAACGTTTCCATCGTCCCACTCCCAGCCAAGCACCACCTCCTCATGGGCTTTGACATCTCGCAACGCGAAAATACCAAACCTCAGCGTGCTATCTTCTCCGCGACAGATCATGGGTCGGAGGACCGCGTTTGGTCGGCATCCACTCCTGACGAACCGCGCTTGATCGCCAGTGAAGCGCGCATCAAGAGCCACGTCAAGCGGCGGTCCGAGTAAATGCACAAATGGTTTGGGCATTCCGAGGTGGGCATATGCGTTCAGGGGATCGGAGAGGTAGGCGGTCGAGGGAATGACTGTGGACGTGAAGGGCGAGATGAAGTTCGTGGAAGGGATGGGTTGCGATGCATGGATGGCGTAAGACGGCGGGCGGACGGAGAGGTTGGTGTGGGAGAACATCGAGGGATGGGACAGGGAGGAGAGGGGCAGCTGGGCGAGGCCGATGGGTGGCGTAGGCAGGATTGCATTGGATTCGAGGGCGGTGACGCCGCGCCAGTGTGTGGCCACGCGCCGGAGTTTGTCGCGGGTGTCGTCGCTGGGGACGATGTCCTTGTCGATGGACACATAACTGAGCGTCCAGGGCTCGTCGATGTCGACGTGCTCGTCCTCGGTGTGGTGCGTATTGACCGAACTGCGCCTCTGCTTGCGCTTGCCACCGTCTGCGGTGGCGGCGACACTCGGCCTACGCTTGCGCTCGATGCCAGAACTCACTCGCCGTTTGGGCTTATCAGCCTGCGAGTGCGCCGCCGCCGCCCTCTGGCGAGCCCTCTGGATCATCACCGCATGCTCCCTGTCCACAGCCCGCGGACGACAGACCCAGCACTCCCACTCCTCCGGGATCTGCGAATCGACGATGTCGAAACAGGCCGCATGACACCACCGCGAGCATGAGTCGCACCCGATCGAAAAGCCGTCGTCGTAGGCAAAGCCGCAGATGCAGGTGATAGTGTCGGCCGCAGGAGGCTCTGGTTCGGGAGCGAGAGACTTGCGCTTGAGGGGGACGGTGGACACAGTATCTCGAGAGGATCCAGAGTTCAGAACGAGCAACCCCACAGCCGCCTCCTCCTCGGTCGCATCAGTTGGCATAACACAGCGTCCGAAGCGTCTTGTTCGTCTCCGTCGGCGTCGAGTAAAGCACTACTTCGTCGTTCAGAAGAGAAAAATAACATCCTGAATAACTTTGCCTCAGCGTGAATTTCCTGCCTCTCAAGCCACGAACAAACAAGTCCAAATATACCCTGCTCGTTGACTCAGACGACCATCTCGACGTCTTCCTGGCCAAGCTTCGACGTCTTCCTCGCAGATAAAACCGTTTTACTTCTCTGTCTTGGAGAGTCTTCCTTAATCAATGCCACCACGAATAACCAGTTAAACAAGCGTACTGATTTGAGCGATGAGTCACTGATTCGGTGGCCCACCTGTATGTCGTTCCCTTTGACCGCGCTCCTATATTTTGGCTGAGCATATACTTGCTCTAGAAGTTCATTGTTGAACACGGTTACGTGTATACTGACACGAGGCCAGATCCCGGTTGATTGCGCTCGTCCACACGCCGTAGTGCACGGATTTTGTCCCCAAATGTCTCTTTGCTTCGTTAGCTGCGCAAGCAGATTTCGACTTGCTGAATCATTCGGAGGTTCCTATGTCGTGCTCGAAAGTATCTCGGACATGCCGCGCTTCTACTAAGGAAACTAGACCTCTGTTAAACATGGCGCGGCAATACGTCTCTGAATTTACATGCTCTCACCTCGTCAAGTGCTCGACCTAGGTCGTTACGACTCTATCATCGATGTTGTGTCTCCGTACCGTCACCGTAATGCACACCCCAAGTATTGCCAATTTCTGGCGAAAGCGGACTTTCGAGTGGGGCTACAAGACTGGGGGTCTTACCGTGCTCCCCAAGAGACTTATTCGTGGGCTTTCTGGCATCCTGATGCATGTTATGGGTTCCTTCCGAACGTACTCACAACGCGTATTGTAATCTTTCTTGAACAGGTGCGACTGCATGCCTTGCGACAATGTGGCCTCGGGATGCAGGTATTGTACTTCTTGTAGCGCGTTCCGCCTCTGATTGATGTTTTTGTTGCGGTGCCTTGTTGCTTCATTCTCTAGGTGAGTTGGTTGACTCCTTTGTGTTGGTTGACCTGAGGCTCGCCTCGAAGTGGTCGCCTTTAGTCGGTGACATCTGTAGGTCAATGAATTATATCGTTTCAACTTTTGCCGTGTGTGATGTCTTACCTTTGAACCGTGGAACTCAGTTTCGTCTTTCGATGCGATGGCTTTGGAACAGTTGAGATCGTCTGAGTTCACGGTGGCCTCTGAATCGCGATCACGTGCGCATCATAACACAAACTCTCCTTTGTTCCACCGAACAGATACCTTATCCAACGACCAGATATTACAACTTTGCAGGCATCGTGAAATAGAACATATTCTCATGGTGGCGGCTAAAGGATTCCAGGATCTCTACGCTGGTGTGCCAGCAATTTACTCTGCGGCCGTACAAGCAGACGAGAAATAACGTCGGTGCGTTGGTACATCGTAGTATAACAATGGTGCGGTGACTTCGTCCGTCTATTGTGACAAGTGTCTTGTCACTGGCACAGAAATTCATTTCTCGGTGGTAACACAGATGTCTACAACCTGAGTACTCTCCTATTTTCTCATCGCCGTATGGCGTCGATCGCTTTACGGCCACTATCACCCATAATCTTCCCGCCGAAACCATGCAATCTTCCGACGGAGGACGACTTCAGGTTCGCCTGGGCTTATCGGAACGCCGTTGAGAAGGCCATGTGTGAGTGCTCAGTGCTCATTTCTGATCTGAGAAGATGGCGTACAGGTTGTGTCAGTCATCGGGAGACCGGCGGGGTTGAGACCTGCCCACCTCGTTGATGCATACGCGTACGAGACGAAGGTATACATGGCGCTGTTCGTGAACGGTAAGGTCCCAAGTGAATTTAAGTCACTGTCGCTCACCGCACTCTCGCAGATGTGCCCTCACAGGGGCAAGAGATTCGTGAGCTCATGAACTTTGTGAGAACGAAGGGGACGCATCTGGAATATCTGATGGAGGTTATTCACCAGATCTGCGAGGGCGCACGATCTGGCTCTCTCCGTTTCGTTTCTTCCGCGGTCCCGCTAACGTTGACGTTGGTTTCTGTAGTACTATGGCATGCGCCCTCATGAGATGCGCTCTTCGTAAGAAGAAGACGAGGTAGATGACGACGCCTCTATTCGCGCAATCTATTCTCGCGACTCTAAGTCCCCCGACTCCAGGCCTTCTTCTGAGGAATGGGGTCCCGATGGGGATGGACTTCCTAGTCCCGACGAAGTTCGTTTTCTATGATTTCCATCGGCTTTGTAGACTGACCATGTCGTTTCTCTGGGCATCTACACAGTTCGGTGCCGACCCCGTGGTTAGCTCACTGATCAGAGCCTGCTCTGATAAACTCTACCCCTCGGATCGCACGAGAAGAGATGACTGAACGTGGGTCTTCTGGAACCGTAGTTGACTCAAACTTCAATGCTCTGCTGTATGCGACATGTGTCATATCTTCCTGTGCAGGTAAATTGGTCCATGTTATCTCGACGTGCTTCTTCCTGAACGGGGAGTGGGAGGCTATTCCGCGATAACCGTCGACGCGAGTTCAGTTTTTTAATGGAGAATTGTCGCAGTGTACACCTGAACCAAACATCCAACAAATCAGATCGCCGGATATGCTTTGCCCCTCCCACAAGATTTATCTTCCTCCCCGCTCCACGCCAGTATTTCCGCTACGAGGTGAGCACATGGTGTCGCCTTGCTTCTGACATCCATCCTCTGCTTGCTCTCTAGATGCAGTAGGACGTTAATGCTGGCCGCGGTTCAAGTAAGAATTTTGGGAGCGCTGTCGCCAAGTTGTCGAGCATTTGGCCCACCAATACCTCTGTTGGTCCGTATCCTACCGTCTGTTGAATTTCATGGTGAAGAACACGCGTTGTTGTGGGTTCGAATTCATCTCAAAGTAAGCAAGACATCTTGTCCTCTCTCATGAAAGGTGACGTCAACTGCAGCACAGACAGTTACCTGGAGATCGTGTTGAACAGGTGTGCGCGTTCGCAAAGGTACTCTTCCCGCAAACGCATGCTCTGCAGCCTACCCCTCAGCCTTCTTCATCAAGGTTGGAAGCGCTGTTCGAATAAAGCTCTGTGTCATGTTGGCGGGTGCGGCCACTGGCCCTTTTCCTTACCTTGAAAGCGCTAACTCCATTCTGCGTATGCGTTCTCCCTTCAAGAAGTTTCAGGACGACGTCATCGAGCACAGCCTGCCCGCTCCCTGCTTTATCTCGGTTTTAGGGTGTGTTTAGTACTATACACTGGACGCGACGAATCCTTTTCTTTTCCCCGCATGAAATGTCTTCGCCCTCGAGGAATTGCAGATGCGCGGTCCGTGCGTATATTGAAGACAATGGAGAGACGAGCCGGGCTTATCTCACTTGATTCTTAGCTGAATCGCCCCCGTCGTCTCTTTGTACCCTCAGTGCATGTCGATGTTTGCGGTAGGACGGGCTGCCGAGGTCTCATTGAATGATTTTGAGCTGTGTTCGAGCGAAATAGCACGTAATATTGGTTGTACATGTTACCCGTTCGTGCGTATCCCTCTTCTTCCTGGCATCGCGATAATGCTCTTGTACTTCTGCGTGATTACATGACAGTTGTACCTTTTCTCGCGGATCCCTTCGTCCCGACAACAATCCTCATGCCGTGCCTGCAGGTCTTGTGGTGAATTTCACACCGGACATGCATCAGCGCTCAGCTTCCGTGTGCAAGTCAATCTCGCCCCGGAGAATCGGTCCGTGCAATACTGAAGGTGTATGCACTGCTAGATACAGCAAACGCCTTTGACCGTCCGATTGTGGTGGTAAAAACTATAACTTACATCGAGCGAGCGGTTCCGTATGGGGTTCGGTTGTGTCAACGTCGAACTTTTCCCCCTAGGCTCTTCTCTTCTCAGTTGCATGAACCGAAAATTTCGACGTACAAACAGTCCTCGATTACACTACATACTTACCTGGAAGCCTGACGTATGCTTACGTAAGCCTATCGGAATGCCGCTCGTTCGACAATCTTAGATGTCGACAGCAAGAGACACACTCTCAAGCTTTCAGTAGCTCATCACATTATGGCAGAACCAACGAAAGGTCATAAACGGAAGCGAAGCCTCCAAGATACACCGGTAGATCTCAGCAAGATGAGAATGGCCAGACAGCGCCTCGCTGCTCTCAAGGAAGAATTAGCAGATATCCAGGAGACAGAGGACGAATTGGCGGCATTGATGGAGCACGTAAACGCGCTAGAAGTCATTCTCAACGCTGCGAAGAAGCCAGTTCGTACGATCCTCCCTGCGGAATTCTCGTTGCTTGCTCAAGACCTCCCCACCATCAGAAGCTGAGCTTTTCGTCGACGACACAGACTGATCTCAAAAAACTTGGAGTGGTCCAGAAACGGCTATTCCTCATCCCGGATAGCGTCGCTAGCCTGGCGGAGAAAATGACACCTTTCGCCATCCAGGAGTGTGGGAACCTTCAGACACGAATCCTGGAAATCTACGAGCATGTAAACATGGATGTAAGTTTTCTGTTCACCGGGTGTCTTTCTCCTCACGTAAACGTATAGTATGAACCTGGCTCCCGCATGATCCTCGATGCGGTCCTGTTGTCGTTTGCGAAGATCGCTTCGCAAGAACGACCGAACCAAGGTGTCGCCATTCTCCCTGAAATGAGGATAGCTACAGGGGAAGGAGTACAGATCGTCAATCCAGTCTCTCAGTATGAGTTATGGTTGACAGGGAATGTGGATTACGCTGTCATGCAATATTTAGACGAGTGGGATAACAAAGGCTAGATCTTCTTTTACTGTCAATGTCTTTGCGCTAAAATTCATAACAGAAAGGCTACTCGGCGATGATACTTGCAGAGACTTTGCGCTCGAGGTTACTGAGGGTCGTCTTTTCCTTGTGGAGGCCAAACGTCTCAGAGGTGAACCTTTGTCTTCCTTCTTGCCTGAGGCGGTTAGTCAAGCCATAGCACTGTCGAAACTCACTACGTACGTGTCTCTGGTCATCCACATTAATATGCCGCTTCTAATCTGAAATCCATGCGAAGATGCGACGTCATCCGTTTCTGCCTTTCGAACGGTCAAGCATGGATATTTTGCATCCTGAAGAAGGATCAGAACGAAGATAAATGGATCTACTACCAAGCAACTGCTCGTTCTCTTTCCAGAGACCATGTACAGACCTCCGATCGTGCGGTGCGCGAAATTATTCAGCTGGTGTCCGAATGGGTGAGTTCTTGATATGAGGGTAATTGCCTTGATTGTTCACATTCCTGTTCATTAGCTGGTCCCTACAGATGGTTTAGAGTTGTATAAGCTCATGGGTTGATTGAGGTCCGGAGCTTTTGGATAAACATACGATGCGTACCCTTGTGATAGGCCTGTCTGAACTGACTTCAAAGAGGCATTTCATACGTCCTCGGTACACTATGAAGGACGACCTTTCGTGTTATAACATTTATCGATATACCAGTAATATTCGCACCTTCAGGACGAGTAATATCACTGATAACGATCGGGTGGACGCGTTATTTCCTACCTATAGAACGTTTCTAATTGGGTTTGGGGCCTCTCCTCCGTGTTTCTCCAGCGCGAATCGCTCTTCCCTGTTGTACACCCTTTAACAGGGTGTCGAATATGTTGGACGACTCCACTGCCACTTAACACGACGCAGAACTCGTCCTCCGGCCCACGTTGTAAGCATGACTGCGGCGTGAATCTCTCTATCTTCCTCCATGTTAAGATTCCCACTTCACCCCGATCGTACGCGCCCCTTCGGAATCTGACTTAAATGATATCAAAATGGATGCGGGCGTTGTTCTGCAATGCACGCGGCTCGTGTAATGCTATCTCCTAATTGTTATGCTCGTCGTCAGCGAACTACCACGTCTGCAGTGCCGCTCACTGCACGGCTATTATTGTCGCCAACAGGTGCATCACTGTCCTTCAATGGATCCCGAATATAGCCTGCCTGCACTGCGTCAGGACGAAATAATTACCATGCTGTGGAAACGAGTAACTTGGGCCGCCAGTGAGTTAGATTACCTGTGAATTTCAATCTTCGTATTTGATGTGTAGGCTGCCAAAGCGTTCAACCCTGAAGGCCTGACCTCTGACAGAAGACATTGTGCTTCCGCTTTTGTTGTCTCGTGGACACGTGCTAAAGCCACATCCCACATTTATAAAATTATATCGCTCGAATATCTCTTCCCACTCGTTCTTTCGCTCGCGCCACAACATCTGACTGACCCGTCTCTCGTCATGGCTCCCATTGCACGGCCTCCACCATCTCCCATACACCGCCCGCCGCGCCCTCTCGACCCTCCAACCCCTGGTGACTTCCGATGCGCTTGGACTTACAGGCAACGTGTTGAAAAGGCCATTCGTGAGCACGCGTCTCTCCTCAGAGTAAACGTGTATTTACATCGTGTCAGTTTCCTGGAATCGTGAAGTAACGTCTGCCCATCTGGTTGATGCGCTCGCGTACGAGGCGAAGATTTTCATGGCTCTGCCAGACCATGGTTGGCACAATATAGTGGGAGAGTCTCGGCCACTTACCCATAAGTTTGTTAGTTGTTGGCATCAAACCTCCGGAGGAGCAGTGTCTTCGCAACGAAATAGAAGCGCTGAGGGCTCGCTTGGATAAACTGGAAGCTCGACTGCGAATATTTGAAGAGAGCAGTGGTAGAAAGGTAGACTTCGATGCACCTTCGTACGACCATAGCTAACATCAATTCTTCGAGAAGTGTAATGCGCTCTCCCATGACAAAACACCTTCTATCGGCAGGAAGTCTTCGCGGGATACATATTCGTCTGCTACCGACTCCGGTCTCGCGGGTTCAGATACCTATGTCAACAGTCCACTCGTCGACAAAGAAAGCATTCCTTCTGACCAAGAAGGTTCCTCTGACCACGGAGTTTCTAATCCTATCGTGGATGTTGACTCCTCTCCTGGCCTCTCTAGCGCAAACTTGCACACATCCTCCAATAATCGAGCGCGTAGACACTATGAGGTTCGTTTGAGGCAATCTTTATAGATCCACGTTGACTAATCACGCCTTTTCTTTCCCTTTCCGCCACGGGTCCTTCTACTTTGCTCTGATGCACAGCACGACGTCTTGCTCAGAGACTACTTGGAAGATTTCTACATTCACCAAAACGCTATTGACGAAGACTACATGGTTCACATCTCCACGGCGGAATGGCCTCGATAATTGACTACTATCTCTCGCGGATTTGATGTTCTGTCAACTTTTCTTAATAGTCTACAGTCTTACCTGATTAATTCCTGTACTGGTGTAATGCTATACTGTGCTTTTATCGTGACTGCTGTGAGGAGAGCGTTGTTTTAGGATGCTTGCTACCCCCGAAATCTAAATCTCTGATTCCTACCTACCATGGCGTGAGTCGTTTCCTTCGATGTATCGTGCAGAGCTCCTGCAAATCTGATCACGATCACGTGCAATGGTTTGACGCGAAATTGGAACAAAGGCTTGATCATGCACCTCGTTCTGACCTTGACACTACTCCAGAGAGAATCATCTTCACACCCTCTTCTTGCATTTGCTTCTTGTCCAGAATTCTAATACAGTTTCCTCCTGCCATACACTCGACTTTTTACCATACGCCACAACCGTTCTCAGCCCCGAACAATACAGACGGTACACAATGTTGCCACACGGTACAGCCCAAGAGGACCTTCTCCTGTCCTCCGACAGCAGCTATGCTCAACGCTGCAAGCAAGTTTTGAATTTGGTTAAGAACCTTCGGGCGATTGGGTGAGCGTTAGCGTGCTTTATTTCTGTGTCGTTCGCCAGTGGCGGTCAAAAGCTAATGCAAGTCCGCGACGTAGTGCACAAGCCGACTTAGACCTTCCTAGAATTGCAGTAATAGGAAACCAGAGCGCAGGGAAGTCGAGTTTAGTAGAGGCCATCTCTGGAGTAAGTACGGTTGTGTTCTCCCCCGGCGGCGATATCCTTCATTCGTTGGCGAGAAATGCTGCAAGGGAGTCTTGCGTGTCCCTAGCGCATTGTTCGAGCTCGCAAATCACTTGCATGCTCCAGACTATGCAACGTTTTTGGGGCGTGGTGCGCGGCGACCATGTGACATTCTCTCGCAAGGTCGCCTTGTGTTTTGGAGCCAACAACTAGGACGTCTCCACCTGTCTCATATTTTCGCTAACATTTACTGCTTTTCTCTTTCCATGGTTAGATCACCGTCCCTCGCGATGCGGGGACTTGCACGCGCTGTCCGATGGAGTGCCGTCTCTCGTCATCCTCTGGCTCGTGGTTTTGTCAAATCTCCATTCGCTGGGAATTCAATGATGATGGTCGGCGCAAGGACGAGGTGCACGAGGTGCCGTTCGGACAACTTATCACAGACAAGAACAAAGTCGAGTTGATGTTACGCCGCGCCCAAGCCGCCGTGTTGAACCCGACTATTCCGTGCTCCCGGTTCCTCACTATGAGTGCCGACGAGTTGAAGGAGGACTTTGCAGCGAATGGCCTTAAAGCGTCGTTGCCCTTCTCCAAGAATGTTGTTTGTATCGATCTGACTGGGCCGGAGCTTACCGACTTGTCGTTTGTTGATCTGCCTGGTGAGTAAGCTCTTTGACACCTTGACACATTATACGTTAGCGTGACGAGTGGTTTTCAGGTATTATCTCGAACGCTGAGCCAGACATCGTCAAGTTTGTAGAAGGACTTGTCAGATCTCATATCAAAGGCAATTGTCTCATTCTCGTGTGCTTGCCGATGAGTGGTTCGTAGCCACATTTTTCTCTTTTGCCTGTTTATAAATGCTTCTAATGCAGACGACATTGACAATCAGAGAGCTGCTCGTCTTGCGAGTGAAGAAGATCCTTCAGGTTCGCGTACAATAGGTAATTTTCATGTTGCTTTGCTCAGCCAGCTTTTATGACATTATCGCGCAGGCGTGCTCACGAAGCCTGACACACTGCCCCAGGGGGCGACAAAATCTCGCGAGCTTTGGCTCGACGTGATTGAGGGGCGTCATCACGCTCTGACACACGGGTACTACTGCACGCGCCAGCCCGACGATGAAGAACGCAATGCAGGTATAACGACGGCTAAAGCACGTGCTGCCGAAGCAGACTTCTTCGCGAAGACGTCTCCTTGGTGTATTTCTACCCACCAGCATCGATTCGGCACACCGAGTCTAATCAAGAACCTCAGCAAGCTGCTCACTCAAGTTATCGATGACGTGTAAGTGTTGTACACCGTCTATGAGAAGGTATTGACGGCGCCTCTCACCTTGATAGCCTCCCCAAACTCCAGGGCGAAGTATCCGCGCAGCTTTCCAAGTGCACCACCCAGCTTGACCGGCTCCCGCAACAGGTCAACACTGAGCCCTCGGCGTTTGTGCTTAACCTCGTCACCGCATTCTGTACCGACGTCCACGCTCACGTCCAGGGTGGGCCGAGCACGGCAAGCCTTGTGCAAAAGAACCGAGCAGTGTATGCACAGTTTAAACGAAGCATCCGGTTGACAGCACCGCCGTTCATCCCTTATCCGCGCGCGGAAGAGGCTGAGGCGGACAGCATGAAGTTCCTAGAACTAGATGAAGAGGAGAGCTCGAACGAAATGGCTGTGGACGATTCAATGGCAGTGCAGCCGAAGTACATGTATTTGAATGACGTGAGGCAATTCATTCGGCAGTGAGTACTGTTTGATCCTTCCTTACGAAGAGCACGTCTTCATCACGACTTGAATCTTGCTAGGTCTATTACACGGGAACTGCCCAACAACGTTCCGTACCCGGCCAAGGTCGCACTCATACAGGCATTCCAAAACCAGTGGGATCGCCACAGTCAGAACTGCTTCGATGCAGTAGATACGGAGTTCCAGCGGACGCTCTTCCACATCATCCAGACCAAGTTTGAGCGTTACGAGCACCTCAAGACACGCATCCAGTTCGTCGATATTTGGTCATCATTCAGGATGTCGTTCTGAAGAGTTGAAAACACAGATTGGTTATGAGAGAGCTTGTCAAACATCGAAGAGACGCGACGCTCACCTACATCCAGAGCCTGCTCAAGCTGGAAACCACGCCGTTCACGCAGAATGATCACTACCTTGCCGAGAAGACGACTAAAACGCTCGCTCGCTACAAGGATGCACGCGCAGGCAAAGTCGCGCCTGAGAAAGCGACGCCGGCATCCAACTTTTTCAGCAATGGTCCCTTCGCTGAGTGTACGCCTCGTCTTCTGGCTATGTCTATGTACCAACCCGACATTCCTGTTGTAGCTTCTAACAGATTTGCAGCTTTTGTACCCACGCCTACTAGCAATCTTCCGCACCCGTTGGTGCCTTCGCGAGAACCGTCTGCTACGCCGACGCCTACGCCGACAGTCTCAACGGAAAATTCTACGTTCTCGTTCGGAGTTCCATCAGCGTTCGCTCGCCCGGCCGCGCAAACCCAATCACCCGCCATCCCTATTATATTCAATGGTCAAACAGTTCAGCAATCTGCTGCTCCTACCAATGATGGCATATCTCAGCCTCAGCCATCCCCTTCTACGCCTGCATTTGGTACGTCATCATTTGGTGGATTCGGGGCATTCAGGGGAATAGCTGTGACTCCTGCTACAACTGTATTCGGTACACCTGCTGATCCCCAGCGACCTGCAGCAACTGGCAAGGCAAACGGGAAAGCGAAGGAGAACGGTTCTACAAACCCGCTGCTTCCGCCGTCTTACAAGACTCAGCTGGCTTCCGAGGCGCCGCTCAACGGAGTAAGGACATTGGGCACTTCCCCAGAAAACTCGTCGTCGTCTGTTACTACCCGAAAGCCAACACCTGCGTCTGCTGCGGGACATATCATGCGAGCCCTGGAGCAGCCAGGGAATAACCCGGAGGACGTCAAGGCAGCGCTCGCTGCACTTGCGAAGATTGGCTACAATGTGCTTGAAGTTGACTTGGGTAAGCTCAATCCGCCCGATGAGTACGAGGAGGAGTTGCAGGTGATGGCGGAAGTCCGCGCGTACTTCCAAGTTGCCTATAAGGTCTGTCACTTGGTTCTTGTTAATCCAGGCTATTGCTAATTTTGCGCCCGGTCTTCATGCCTAGCGAGTTATTGACTACGTCCCTCTGTCGATCGACCACTTATTTCTGTATGCGTTCGCGGAGGACCTACAGGCATTCTTGCTGAACAAGCTCGGGCTTGGGGGTCCCAATGCTACGGCACGATGCGAGGCGTACCTGGTAGAAGATGCGGGCGTTGTTGCTGCTCGTGAGGAGTTGACGAGCAAGAAGAAGCGTCTCGAGAGCGTGCAGGTAGAGCTGTTCAACTTTGGGCTGTGACAGGTGAAGACTAGATCCAGACGTCGCCTCACTCTCGTATTCCGAATAATCCATCTGATGCCGTGCTGCGCTCTCGTACGTTCTTGCTTTGATGTATTTGCCGATATTTTACCGCGAGTATGATCGTATGCGAGTTTATGATCTGCGTAGCAAAACCGCGTCAGAAGCAATTGCGGAGTTGCTTGCGTCTTCACATTGCTCGACACCCGCGTACTCTAGACGGAGGCACACTTTCCAGGGCGCTAGACCGTACTCAATGGCCGGCACAGAGGCGAGTATGACATTCAACCTGGTGATACCCCCTGCTTGGATGTGGATGGAAGCCGAACTGTATGGTCTGCCATTCATTCCTTTGAGTACGCGTGCCAACAGGCGGCTAGCGTTTGTAGACTGTGGACATCGAGCAAAAATTCTATTCCGCGGACGTGCATGGGACGGCGACGCAATATGTATAAACATCGGTCCTCATGCTCATCCGTCCGACACTGTCCGCGAACATCCGATTTTTCTAGTACGTAGGATTTCGATCGTCTCGTTTCTGCATTCCATTCCTGTCAGCCTCTCTTGTGGTTACTTACTCAAGATAAGATGACGCCTTATTCACTTCTTGGATGTTCACAATGTTTACCATGTAGATAGATCACGGGTGAACTTACTCAGTTTGCTCTTGTGGACGCAGTACGTGATTGACGTTCTTCACTTTGCGAAGCTGTCTCAGTTATATCTGACGCCTTCGACCTGCATATGAAGCGTCAGTCATAGGTTTCGCCGGGTGTCTATGAGGAAGCGCAGAACCTCAGAGCGCCGCTGTCCGGCGTCCGTGTGTGCCAGAATGATGAAGATTCAAAAACTGCTGGTTGGTGAGTTATCCTGAACGTGATGCCTTCCTTACTCCCGTTCGTAACCTGATTTGAGCGTGTCTTTCGTCTGTCGGACCGTCCGAGATTTTCAAATCGTTTTATGGCGAATACTCCGTGTTGTACAATTTCCTCGTTGCTGTATATATCGCCCGACGAACAGTTCGACTTTAACACTGCCTATGAAAGCCAATTTCTTTGTGGCCGTCACCGGAACAGCCTCGAGTCAACGCCACAAAGGGGGCTGTTGCCGAGGGCCACCCGAATTATTAAAGACAACCTCTGGCCTGCCTGTGGCTCTCTGGCAGGAGGCGCCTGTCTCGTCTTTCCCCCGACCACGTCCGTCCGCCCTGCAAGCTCTCCCGCAAGCCCCTGCCATGAAAGCCTCTGTAAACCAAGACGTTTATCTAGAAATCCTCAGCTATCTCCATCCGGTCTCAGATAGGATTTCCCTCAGGAACTTGGCTCTCGTCTGCAGGGGCCTCTGCGATTTAGCGCTAGACGTTTTGTGGCGCCAACTGGATGGCATTGTACCCTTGTTCAAGCTCGTGGGAAGTGAAGACTGGATCATTCACGTTGATCATTGCAATAAAGATGAATGTCGATGCGTATGTGTGGCCTTTCGCCGTTAGATTTCGTAGATCCTGATACCTCGTTGCAGACGACCCTGCGAGAGATTCCGGACGCCGAATGGGCGCGTTTTCTCGCATATGCGCGGCGCATTCAAGTTGCGGGCAAGGACGCGCCTCAGGATATCGGCAGGATCGACAGCCGTGCTCTTCTCGCTGTTATTCTGCGCGCTGATGGCGAGCCCATTTCCCCCTCACTGACCTCTCTGCAGATGTCCGTGTGGACTGATGTTGATTCTTTACTGTTGTTTTTTCTCACCGGATGTCTCTGTCAGTCTACGCACAAGCATCTACGCGACACCTTACTCTATTATCTGGGACCGATCAAGCTGGAGATGCACGGACTAATCAACCAACCCGCACGGCGAAACGCGTCCTTACGCAAGCTGGTCGTCGCGGGTAGGGTTGATGTCATTCTGGTCGCGATCCGCGGCTTGGCCACGCTCCAGGAGGTGCATATCAATGATAGTAGATCTGCGCGCTCTTCGCTGGAAACTCTCGCTAGTCTGCCCGATTTGCGCGCTGCCCGGTTTGGATTCGAAGAGTACGTCACAGGCCCTGAACCATATGCATTCCTCGCTTTGCGGTATCTCGACGTCTCAGGATATCTGTCCGACCTTGTCACTCTGTTCACGAATCTCTCGGCGCCGAGTCTAAACTCGCTCACGATCAGATTCTACTTCTGCTTACACCGAGATCCGGACTTTTTGTCTCACTTCATCACGCTTCTGGATGGGCTGCCGGTGCCTTTCTGCTCCACCCTTCGCATACTAAGGATTTATACCCACTTAAAGCATGAAGAGGAAGTCGCTGTTTTCGGTGGTTTTATCGACGTAATCAGGTCACTCCAGCGGTTATCTAACCTTAAGGAGATCTCTATGAAGGTCCACTTTTCCCTATCACTGTGCAACGCGGACGTCCGCGCTATGGCCACCGCGTGGCCGCGTCTGGAGATACTCAGCCTGAAATGTCCTCTCGCCCTCGATCAAGGCACACCCAGCGTGTTCTCTCTTGTGTATTTCGCGCGCAGCTGTCCACACCTGCGTGAGCTCTCACTTCCGCGCATGGCGTGCCGCTGCTCTTCTGGTCCCAGCAATGATATCCATGCGGGGCTGCCATACAACACTGCCCCTGGCATGACCCTGCTCTCTTTTGAGTACGACATGCCGCGAGACCCCACACCTGTGGGTGCCCTGGACGGTCTCCAAGTTGCGGCGTTCATTCACCGTACTTTCCCCTCTGCGCGGATAGCCGTTTCGTGCAGGAATTCGACCTGGTTTCGCGTCGTGCTACCCTTGGAGTATTTCTTTCAACACGTGGATGAATATCTAGCGCGTGCTATACAGACGATGTGTGCGGCTTTGGAGAATGAGCGTACGCCCGCCGTGCAACCTGATTCCACGGCTGCTGCTCTTCCGCCACCTACAGCTCATCGTTTGTTCTCGATAGGACCGTCTCAGCTGTCTGCAGCGAGCATTGGTGCTGTATACCTCGTTCTGCTGGGGATCCTGTGTGCGATGGATTAACCCGACTTGCTCTTAGATGGTATTGAACACTCGTGTCTCTGCTGGTCTCTGCACGATGAATATTATTAGTTTGTTGATTTCGTATGCTCATCCCAGATTATACTTATTTACTTCTGCCTGGCATGCGGAATATCCCAGTACTCACTTTTCAGCGTTGAACTACGGTCGCCTCGTATATACATTGCGGCTTTGAATTGTATGTTCAGCAACCGGAGTGTACGTCATGTGTATGCGTAGCAGAATAAAGGCTTTGCGTACTGCAAGAAGCGATCGAAAATTTTCTGCAGGATCATGGTCCGTTCCCATTAACGTTCGAGTCTGTTCGAGTTCATATTTCCTGACAATAAGCGCCCAGTGGTTTCGCGATTGCCGGCGTCTGTCTGCTCAAGTCCATGAACCCGCTGTACGCGTCTCATTGTCCAACGCTACTGCTGGACTGCTTTCTGGGAAGTGACACGAATACGTTCGCCACGTCCTATTGCTTGTTTCTCCGTCTGCCTCTGCGTGGATATGAGCGTTCTACTCCATCGTGCTCGTTCGAACAGTCTCATCAAACTAGCGAGGTCTTTGTTCGTCATGTATTCGACTGAAGATTTTTCATTCATTCTTACTACCGACAACGTGTTTACTACCAGTGCGGCCCTAATTCATTATACACTACTCTCTGTCTTTGCCTGTCGACGGTCATGACTGCGACGTGCTGGCTCGAACGCGGTTCCGAAAGAGTTTGTTCTGGCTGGAAATACGGACTTCCCTCCTCTCTATGTGTCACTAAGGTCGCCATGTTCAGATCGAGAAGATTTATATTCCATAGACCGCGTTGGCAGACACGTCGACTACGTATTCGAATTGCGGACGACTAACGTCTAATACAGATTCGTCTCGAAGGCACCAAAGCTTCGCAAGTCTCGTGGGTGTGCACGGCCACGCCAGGATCTGCATGTTCTAGGACGTTGATCGGGTTGGCGGCGCTCTAGAAGGGGACGTCTTGGACTTTAGCAGGTGCGCGTCCGTTTCTCATTGCCGGGCGGATCCATCTCCGGTACGGACCATTTGTACTGCGCAAGAGCACAGGTTGGCCAACGTTACCTCTCACTATTATCCAACAGCCGAAATGTTGCATTGCCATTGACGTCCCAAAAAATCATTCGTATACCCCATAGGTTCGATGCGAAGAGCTGAGAGCTGCCGAAAACCGCATGCCAAAAATGGCGAAAGTTATCGTGGGCGAGGGCTCGCAGTCAGTGCATTGAGGAGTGGTTTCGTTAAGTAGGTGAGTGAGTTTTCATTTGACGTCCGATATTTCCGAATTAGGCGCCGTCCGGTGGCCACTCTGTGATAAACGCTTGGCTGCTTGTGCCACAGTCCGGCCTCCCGTTTCCTTTGTTCTAAGTCAGTGCGTTGTTACTGCTCTGATGTAAGCGCCTAAGCGTTGGTCCAATGCATGTCCCCGTGGCGCGCTACCTCAGGTATAAAGCTGGGTGCTTGCTCGGCACCCACCACCTCCAATTTGCTTTCGTATCTGTTAACTTAACTGGTTTTTTGTGCGTCTTTTGATCGTCTGTTACGATTCAGGTTACTCACATTTAGCACACAGTACTATGCCCTCGAACCCGCGTAAAACGTACGTTAAACAGCAGTTCCTCGTTTCTGACTCACACAAACGTTCTGTAAGACAGGAAGTACAACTGCGACAGAGCTTGTTGCACCTATGGGACTGACTCGAATTCCTTATTCCAACATCATCTCAACATCCAGTACGTACCATGTCCATCGCTTGTTGCGTATACACTGACAGCGGTGGACCGCTAGCGAAGCGTTCGAGGCTGGCACCAGACGCGGCCAACGTGTCACTGCGCCAGAAGCTGTAACCAGCGCGCAACCGCCGGCCACCATGGCTTCCGACGCGCGAATACCACGTGAGGAACCCGTCGTCCTCAAACGGTCACGAAAGCTCAACGAGGTCGTGCGAGCCTGGACTTCTGCGAAGAATTGGACAACACCCGATCAGCAAGCGGTGCCCAGAATGCCCATCTGTCACAGCAACTTAGGCAAAGCCACGACGGGCACTTCATCCACTGGAAGGGGCGTGGAGGGTCCCTTCCAACAAGGCTGGCCTTCTTCAACAATTTCCTTGGCGTCGTCTGGACAAGTGGAAAATGCTGGAAGTAGAACTGAGGCCGCACAAGCAAAGTCTTCTGTCCTCCGAGAAGGAACAAGAGAGAAACCTGTGTCGGGAGTGCGTCTTGGATCCTCCAATCTGCAAGGAGGTACTGGTAATACTCCCTCTTCTGCAGGACCTTGGGATTCTTCTGTTCAAGAGAACGCAGGAAGCATGCCGGCTTCAGCAAGACATCCGGAGCCCTCCACGCGTCCAGAAGGCATAAGCATCTTACCTAGAATGCCAATCGGGGCCCGTCTCCCGAACATGCCATGCACGCTGGTCTTCGGCGACCCGGATTCCAGTATCCGTTCGGCACCCACTGGTTTTGCAACACATCCGGAGTCCACTGTGCGACGAGAGATGAGGGCTGCGAGACCGATGCCGTATCCGCAAGTTAACCGTCCGCGACTGCGGCGGGTGAATGTGCCGCGTTATGCCATGCAGGTCCCCTCGCGCTCGCCGTATACGGACCAGGTCACCGCGCAAAGCACGGGCCACGCATTTGGGCCCTTGCGAGTTGCGCAGGCCGTGGCCGCACCTGTGGGTTCCAGTTCGGCCTCAGCGGCGAGCGGGCCTACGGGTTCCGCTTCGACCTCAAATGCGAGCGAGCCCGCGAGCTCCTCTTCGGCCTCAGCTTCGACCCCTTCAACGTCGATTCCGATGGTGTTGAACATCTTTGAGCTGCCTCGCGCCGAGGATAGCGGAGGGTACGACCACATGGCCGACCTCGAAGGTATAGCGGTGAATGTCCAGGGACGTAGAGGGAAACTGAGAGAAGTAACGTTGAACCTCCAACTTGGAAGTGCGCTCGAAGAAGCGTTGCCGGAGAAGATGTTTGTGATTCAATATGACGACTCTATGGCTCCAACTCCACCCCCTGGTTCTACCGGTCCCTCTGCTTAGGTGTTGCCGATTGCGTGTTGTAAGTGATGGAGGTATGATGGAGGTAACTGCTGTCAGGTCTGAATGTATGTATGCACTTATGCTGTATGCTTTATGTTTTATGTTTTCCATGCATCTATGCTTAAGCTCTGAACTGCTGTGTCGAGAGCAGATGAAACTGGGGTGGTCTCAGAACTGTGTAAACTAGGAGGGAGAGAGTGCGTGTCACACATACGCGTTCTGAGACTGGGACACCTAAAAGTGAATCGAGGAAGGACGCACCGATCATGCCGGTATATTGGCGACGCCGGCGAAGATGACGGACAGTCTGAACTGCGCACTCCTTTGGAATCTCGGAGTACTTATGTCGGGGCCACGCCCTCCTGTGGGTCTGTGCAGGTCCTTAAGCCGCCGACAGTGCTACGACGTCCGCGACAAAGCCGGCTATATTTTCTCCTCGTCGATATCTCCTGTCCGTTTATATATGCTTGACGGAGCCTAATGCACAAAATATTGATCGTTACATGACTCAACGTCAACATGACTTCAGCTGGCTGTTTGCGAACTGCACTCAGCTTGCCGTTTTTACTCAAGGTAACCTACGACCGACGTCGATTGAGCTTCTCAATCATGTCCAGGTCATGCTGTTTCTTCATACGTGCCGCAGGCCCGACACTGTCTGCCCAACTGATCTCTCCCGAATCATTGAGGAGCGCTGAGTACTGCGCCTGATCGTCATCCCCAAAGTGAACTTGAATCAACATCGCGCCCAAACCTGTATCCACCGCCTCCCCCTTCCCAGTCCTCGCACCTTCACCGCATAGAGGTCCTTGGTGACGACCATGATGTTCGCGCGACGCAGATCGCCGAAGACGAGGCCCAAGCGGTGCAGCTCGTCCACCGCGAGCTTCACGTCGCGCATGAGGCCCGGACGTAGCTCTCTACCTTTGAACTGGTGGTGCGCATCGCGGCCCTCGACGAATTCCATTATAACCATATTGACACGTCCACGTATCTGGGCGCAGAAGTAGAGCTTCAGTGCCAGACCGATATCGGCGAGTATGTGATGGGCGCGCTCGTTGTATGTACGTCTCGCAGAACTTAACGAGCACAGGTTTGCCGTCGATCTTTGCGCGGAAGACGGATCGGCGGTAGTTGTCGCTCCTCGTGATCGAATCGTGCTAAGAACTCCAAGGCACCCGCTGAGCACTTCAGACTGCATAAGCGGGATTGAGAAGGAGGCGGCCGTGCTTGGGCATTTTGCTCGGCGACAGAGAATGGTAGTGCCCCTGCGACCGCACCGAAGAGCTTGGCCACGTGGGTAATCCGCTCATTCTTGAAAGGATCCCCGCCCAACTAGATGTAGTCCGTGAAGGGCTGGATGATGAATACGTCGACGAGAACTGCACCAGAGAAGTAGATGCAGGGACCCGCGATGGATATGACGATGCAAGGGCAGCATGACACCGTGACATTTCATATCTTCTCGTACTGCAGCTTGGTCCGCTTCGAACTCAAGTCGAGCATTAACGTAGACAACCTACCTCATCCTGGGAAATGTGCTTCAAGAATGATAGTGCACCTTGAAGTCCGCTGTCTGCACCTATTCCTAGTTCGTTTTTTGACCTCGATGTAGATGTAGATGCCCTTCTTCTCGCCGTGCGTTCTGTCCTGCAGAAGTTCTCGAACGAGAGCGTCGGCTTCAGTGTCTTTCTTGTTGGAGTGCCTACTTATGGCGACCTTGACGTGCCGTTCAAGAGTGATGTCCAAGAGATACTCGATATGACCTAGTGTCGCGGATCGTACAACGCGTCTTTGAGCTGAGCCAAGACCCAGCTTCCGTCCGATAAGCTGAAGGAATTGGATGGAATTCTAACGGAAACCGGGCTTATGTGGCGAAGTGCACCGAACACAGGACTACTCTAGGATTGTCGTCGTAAATTTGTCTTTGGTTTCTCTGATGTGTAGCTGACATATCTGTATTGTCTCTTTAGGTTGCGTTATCAAACCAAGGCTCTCCGGCTGCAGACCTATTGTGCCACCTCATTCTTTCAAGAGTGCAAGGCAATGCTGAGCGGATTATCACAGAACGTATCTAACATATGCGTGGAAGTCAAATGCACTCGAGCCGACATCTTGGTAGGTGTACCAAATATTTGATTTATCTGATGCTGCCAATCACAGCAACCGCGTAAGTAGTCCGAGTCAACCACCGCTGGAGAGAGAAAAAAAACTTCAACTTCAAACAAAATTCCAAGAGTCTCAAATGAGTCATATCGGTGTCAGTGAGTATCGTTGAAACCCATGTTTTTTCCTTTTTGACGGAACCAGCTGCAGATCAGATACAGCCAGCCGCGTTGACGCGGCTTCTGATATCGGACATCTTTCCAACGATGACCATCCCGAACGTAGCTCTCCTCGACATGCCAATAAAATGTCTTCTCCACTGTCCTCTCCTGTTGTTCCGTATGTCTCCAGCAAGCACTGAATGAAAACCAGTATAATTGAACGAAGAGGTCGAAAAGCGTGGTACGTCAACGAAAGCAATAGGCAAAGGAAGACGTCTGTGATGAGTTTGACTGATATTACTATGACGCTGAGGGTGCTGGACCGTCAAGATAGTTTCAGCATGAAAAAAAGAGAAATTCCTTAGTACTCACCAAGTAGTAGGGAAATTCATTTCATGAGGTGCCGCAGACGATAAATCCCCTCTCTAGCAGCAGCTACAGTGTCATATACCACGCGCTCGGGCGCTGTTTCCTCTTTTCGTCGTAAGCGCCAGCGTAGCAAAGAGCCATCTAGTGCGTGCCGAATGGCCTCGAATATCGAGAATGCGCCTTCGGCAGTTGGTCGCTGGTCTGGTTGGTGCGCTGTCATAACCTGCACCAAAGGTTGGAGAAACTCAAGATCAAGGTATGTCTGACGTTCGATGTATTAGAATGAATGGAAAGATGCGATCTGTCACTCACTTGGAGAAATTCTTTCTTATAGAGATTTCCCAAGATGAATAGATCGGCCTTAAAGGCATTATACGGGACCTCCGAGGAAAGCTCGGGCAGTTCCTTGTCTCGGCCGCGTCTACCAAGCACATACGGGGACGTGCCTTTCTCAATGTACGATGAAATGCCGAAGTCGATATAGTAATACCGGACAGGATGGTCCGACCGAGATAATGGGGATAACGTACGCGTACCATCCCGACTTGTCTCAATCCTCACAGGATGATGTCCCTGAGGATACAGGGACCGAGCGTCCATCATGATATTAGCGGTAGCACAGTCTCTGATACAGAGGATCAGATTCTCACTGAAAGACATGACTAGATACACCACTTGCCGGTGAGCGACACCTCAGCTATGCAGGTAGCAGAGGCCCTCGATTTTTTGAAATGAGCTCAAACATCGGCAAAACGCAGCGCGAGTGACAACTACCTCTAGTGTTTGCCTCATAAATTCCACCGCCTCTCCGATCGTCCCAAACTCGGGATCATTAAACGGTCTCAGGTATAGCATGATAAGAATGGACAGCTTCGGATCTAATGGATCTTGAAGGACATCCACGACGGGCACGCAATGATTCAGGGGATCTGAACGAGCGTCTGACTTGAAGAGATATTGCGCGATACGAACTTCATTCCCGTCCCTCTCCACGCTTTTCAGGGACACCAGTTCTCCGCCATCTTCTTTCACTGCATCCATTACATGTCGAGCCTACAAGTATAAGTACAAGGTCAATTGCCAAAGAGCCGTTATCAACCAGACATACCAACATGCAGATGGAGTCCTCGCAGAAGTTGGGAGCGATATCCGTACCAAGCCATGAGGGAGACCAACCTGGCCTGAATCGTGGCCGGAGTAGATAGCCATGCTGTTCGAGATAAACTTGACGGTCTCTCCAGAAGATTTCGATTGGTAGCAGGGAGTACAAGCCTTCAGCGGTTGACTTCGCATGATGCTGGACTTCCTCTGGTGTACATCGCGCATAGAACGGGACATTGGCAGCTGCATGTGTCATGACGAGAGCAACCTAGTAGCGCTTCTGTCGTCATACCATCTCAATCGTAGGTTTATGCAACAGAGAACCGGAGAAGCAGTGACAGCGGGATCCTCCAAAGCATGTGCACGTGCCTAGCACCATGCCAGGAATATATTTGTCGCTGTGGGTCCAAGTTTATACCCAGACATGCACTTGTAGCGTGCGCACAACCTACAAATACCATGAGGGTGAAGATGGGAAGAGAACATGAGCGTGCAGCCGTCCTCACTTTCTCCCCTCCACATCTGCGAACAGTCTCCCTCTGCAATCAGTTACGTGAATTTTCTTTCCCGCAAGACCCCCGAATCCAAACCTCTCATTGCGTGAAGTTGCAGGATGGGGAGCGCTTTCGACATCTTCGGTGTGGTCGTTGGGGTCCTTGGCATCATCACTTCTTTTCCAGTTATTGCGGCCATCCTCCAGTCGCAGATCCCCTCCCGGAAATTAGAGGAACCTGACCAGGTCCTGGTGGAAACCGAGCTGCTATGGCGCAAATTGTCAGTGAAGGTCTTTTCGCCGAGGCCGATCATCCATTCAGGAAAAGGACGGACTTGGCCATGAAAAGGTAGAGTTGTCCTGCACCTATTTTCTGTATAATTAATTTACTGCGCATGCGTCTAGGCTACGTCGTCTTACCGAAGACTTCCGGTTGCAGTCTCACTGCGCGGCAACCTTTTTCCAGCAATGCTCGAAGATGCTTGATGGCTTATCATGGTCAATTTCGCGTCTATGCACCCACGCCAAACGGACTCGAGCTGAAATCTTGGTAGCAAAAATTCCCATGGTTGCTCACCTTCATGATGCTGATTTCGCTTTGGTATGGTCTAGTCTACGACCGCCGAGGAGCGAAAGAAGCTTAAGCTGGAGACCAACCTTGAACAGTCTCAACGGACTGCAGGTGACGGTTGTTCAACTCTCACATTGATCTTGGTGCTAATGCGATCACTTGCAGTTCAGTTGCAGTTGACAGCGCTGACACCACCTAATACCAGATATCTCGATAATCTTCGAGATAGTATACATGTTCTCGATGAGAATTTACTTGATCCTGAGAACCGGTCTACTGCGTCGGTTCTGAATGCCATTTCGAGTACCATCGTTCTGGCTGCAAATGCGTCAGGCGAGAGTTGCACGACGTTCCACGACAATTTGGCATCTCAGCCATGTTTATACTCCTACGACCAAAACGCGTCGGCCGGTAGCTCCGGAGCATCCGGCGGTACCTCTACCTGTCAATTCCCAGAGTCCTGTCTCACTACAGCTCACACTGCAGTTAATATCATCTCCGCCGTTAAGACAGCGACCATTTGTGACCCCCCAACAGCAGATGATGGCATAGTCGTCCACCGAGTGCCAGTTGACACACACTTGTCCGATCCCGATCCCATTCCCGCGCCCCACGTCTCGACCATCTATGAATGTGCCATTCCGCCCCAGGGGATCTCTTCCGGTTCTTGCCACGAAGATGCATGTGACGGCAATTCCACCACTCCAAGAGACAGTTTGGCATCCTCGGCTGGACTGTCTTCTGCTGCTACACGTTGCACAGAATCGCATCGCAAATTCAGCGTTCCGGTGCCAGCACTGGGTGGACAGCTAATCATGCCACGTTTGTCATCATCCAATACTGCGATGCAACACCTCCTCCGTGAAGTCGGACGTAAAATCGTTGCCAGACGCGGGCTTCTTTATTCCCGCTCCCTGTCCACCAATGCCATCCGTGTGGCTCGAAGGCGAAATCATTCGTCCGGTGGAAAATCTGCAGGGCGTATTGCACGTCCATACCAAAGACAGGTCGATGCACAAGTGACGCGCTACGATATCGGTGATGAAGATTTGGAAGCATTTTGGGAAGATTGTTCAGATGAAGATTCGCTCTGACTGTTTCCTTACTGTTGCGCTAATGCAACTAGAGCATATGACGCCTTATGTATGTCTGTTGCACCCGCATTATGTATTCCTTGCAACGATGTCCCGTCTGTATTTATCGCAAGAACATCATAACATGTTTGAAGTGCAACATGCGGTGTCACTGTCAGATTGATTGTCTAATCGTAGACGAGGAAAGTAAAATCAGTTCCCACTGTCTGACAACCGCTAGACACCAACTCAACAAATTCGCAGCAACTTGAACTCGAACGACAAAAATATAGAAGAACATAGAAGAGGCTATGGGACTTTGGCCATTAATACTACAGTACGATCGCCTCAGTCACGATATGTTAGAATCTAGACGACGCCTGGCAACCGCACTTCAAGCGATGTTCCAACGTATCGGCAATTTTATAGTATGACCCATAACTAAGACTGAGAAGCGTTATATGAGTCCGGCCATCATATGTAGGTACCAAAGAGGTTACCGTTGAATTTGTCGTGGAAGTCACCATGGATGGAACGAGAGAGACGTGATCGAAGTTCTGAACGATCGAACGAACAGCCTTCCCAATTTGGAGATCTATCCTCCTTTCTGGCACCCAGCTTCGTCGCTGACTCACTCGTCGGCTGAGTTCACTTTCTTATACTGGCCGCTTCTCTAAACGTTGTACTTCCCCGTAAGTATCGTACAAAGTGATGAATCCGCCCAACACCCTTCCCAGAAACAACACCGCCTCAGATCACCGATGCGACCGGTGGTAGGCGAGATACCGTCCCGGACACGGGACTTCTACGTAGTTTGTTCCGCTACCCCCACTTCTTATGTCGTTTCATCTGGTCCTATCTTTCAATACGTGGGGATAGGCAAGATAGAAGCCAGATAGCTGCCTGTCGTAATTCCAGCTATCGACAAAAAGTGTTCCCACTGCCTCTTATCTCCAGCATGTTTACGTTCACACCCTCCTTCGCACCTTCGCCATGAAGCACATCGACGATGCTGTGATTCCTGGCTCAGTGTACCTCGTTGATGTGCAGGAGAAGTCATCGCTCGCCCATGCGGACGACAATCCAGCAGTCGTGCTGCACCCTACGCCTTCAAATGACGTAAATGACCCGCTGAACTGGAGTAAGACACGCAAACTCACGCAGTTTACATGCATTCTTATCTGTGAGTACGTTAATTTCTGTCTTTAGTGGCGACCTACAGTACTCATGCGACTCCTGCGCAGACACTACCGCGATTGGCATCGCAACGGCCGCGTTATACTCGATTCTTCAGCCTATCTCAGATGATACCGGTATCCCTCTGTCGACGTTGAATGCGGGCACAGGATACAGTGCGCATGCCAATCTGCCTTATTTTTGAGCCTGATTGTATCTTGATACCTAGTGTTTCTGTGTAAGTTCTAACTCCTCTGTGCGTTGAGTGTTTATTCAGATGGTCTACGCTAGTTCTGGGATGGGGGGCACTCGTAAATCAGCCCCTTGCTCTGACATTTGGTAAGCGCGGTATCTACTTGGTTTCCGTCATCGGCAGCATTGTGAGTGGTGTAGCTGCTGCACCTCTCGGTGCTATTCTCAGTTTAAACAGGCCATGTGCTTGTGGGTTCCGTACGTGGGAAGTAATGGGCAGTGGTGAGTCTGGAGCAAGCATTCTTTGGCATATTTTTCATGACACGTGTGCAGGATCGCGAGCAAAATCATTCAAGGTATGCGATCTAGAGGTCTTGATGGCTCAAACTGACTCAATGGGGTAAGGTTTTCTCTGTACTCCCGTCGAGTCACTATGTGAAGTATCGGTATGTCTTAGCGAGTTTCATTTCATTTCTAGCTCATCTGTCACGCAGATCACCGACGTCGTATGTCCGTGGATTGGGTTCATGCGATGTTTATTTATTTCCATCATCCTTAGTTTTTCGCCCATGAAAGAGGGACATACATCGGCATATACACCCTTTTCCTATTCGGGTGAGCGACGCTCCATCCGCTTCATTGACTAGCGATCTCACTAACAGGATCACAATCGATTAGATCGAACTACGTGGCGCCCTTGATCTCTGGCGTACGTCGCGAATCCACTCCAGAATCACTCGAATCCTGATTGATCGCCAGTTCATCTTCGATGGCCAGGGGTGGCACTGGGTCATGTACTGGTGCGCGATCATCAACGTTGTTGCGCTGATCATTCTGTTCTTTTTAATGGAAGAGGCGCGTCCCCGACCTCGATTGGTCCATTCCACGCGCTGAATCCCCTCTAGACGAATTATATTCGCGGCAGCAGCGAAGCGGATGACGAGGTAAGTCGCGTTCACATCTCTGCATCTATCTTGTCAAAGTCAGCGCGAACCCTACGGAAGGTGTATGGTAGAAGTAAGACCAAGATCGAACTGGTCGGGACGCCGACGACCTTCCTGCAAAAGCTTGCAATGTTCAACAAGCGTTACGCCAGCAACTCGATGCTGCTGACGATGATATACCGTCCGCTACTTCTGCTTCGGTTCCCGGTAGTTTTCTGGTACGTGCTTGGTGACCGCTCCCAACTTCCTACTACATTGACGCACGGTCATTGGGACAGGGCGGGCTTTCAGTATGGCAGCTGCCTGGTGTGGTACAACGTCTTAAACGCGACGGCCTCGCTCATCCTCAGCGGTCCGCCCTACAACTTCCGCGCAAGCTTCGTCGGACTAGCATACATCGCGCCACTAGTCGGCATCACCATTGGGTACCCCTTCTCCGCTTTCCGCATCCGTGCCATTGTTGATAGTGATGCGGAACACAGGTGCCTGTACGCGGGCTGGGTGGGGGACCGGCTCGCACTGCGATACGCACGACGTACGGGCGGCGTGCGCGAGCCCGAGCACCGCCTGTGGCTCATGCTTGTGTCATGTCTGCTGTGTCCAGGCTCACTCATCCTGTGGGGCGTCGGCGCCGCGAAGGGCGTGAACTGGTTTGGGCTTGTCGTAGGCATGGGCATGATATCATGCTCGACGGGCATCGGGTCGTCGCTCTCGCTGGGCTTCGCCCTGGACTCGTACAAGGATTTGAGTGGGGAGGTGATGATGGCGGTGATCATCGTGAGGGTGAGTCTTTTCTGGAGTTGCTGGTGAGGCTGCCGCGCTGATGCCGATGTTTTCCCGCCAGAACACATTATCATTCGCCATTGTGAGTGTGTCCCTTGTAATCCGTAATGGTCCGATGCTGAGTTTCTTCAGGGATATGGGATAACGCCTTGGCTCCACATCGGATACCAGAACACGTTCATCTCGGCGGCGTTCGTCGGCCTTGCGATCACGATGACGTTCTTGGTCGTAATTCGGTGGGGTAAGAGCTGGCGAGCCCGCAGCAGTAAGGCCTATTGGGCATACGTCGCGTCCGGAGCTGGCGTTGCGCACTAGAGTTGTTAAGAAACGGCAAGTTGTGACAGCGCGATGAAATCAATGCGTTGCATTGTTTTACGTCGATCTACACTTAGATAACAAATAGCGGTGGTGAAGTGTTGATGGAATGTCTTCTCTAATGTCCGGTGGTCAAAATGGAGAAAATAAGCACAAAAAGGGAGGAAAGAAAGAGAACGGAAACCAGAACCACGACTACTTGTACACGAAACTGAGCCAGCAGTGACACATAAATTCCGAGCGCATGCGAGATGCACGTTCAATAAGCGATCCTCAAGTTACTCGAGAACGTGTCGATCACAGTCTGCATCTCGTTGCTGAACCGATGCACGCTGCACTGCTCGCTCTCCACATGCTGGCAGAGCGCGCTGAGCGTGCGGAACTCGCGTCCGCACCCACGCCATGCGGCAGGACACCGGTAGATCCTGTCTGCGTGCGCAGGGCTACGCAGGTGCATGTTGAGAGCATGGAGCGTGCGATAGGTACGGTGGCAGAGGAAACACTCGTAGGAGGACCCGTTCCACGAGCGCTCCGTCGCCCATGTCTCCACGGATGTGCTCGAGGGGGCTGTGGTTTGCCCGTCTGGACCGCGAATGAGGCGTGCCGGATTGGTAATGATGCCACCCCTGTCTATCCGGACGGCGACGCGGTCGACACCCTCGCGCGTAACGCCAGAGGGACACGCTCCAGACTCCCAGTGAAGGATGAGAGCAGCATGGGAGATGAACGTCATTCCACAATTGCGGCCGGGGCATGCGTACGCACTCGGCTGGTGAACGGAGGAGCGAAGATGAGAATTCAGATTACTCTCGCTCTGAAAGACGCGTTTGCAGGAGATGCAGTACCAGTGCTTCTGGCGGTTGTGATCTTCCAAGCCTAGCGAGGACTCGAAGATCTGCAGCCGCCGGGATAATGTGTGGTTAGGGAGCAGGAGGTATAAGCGGTGCTCAGCCACGTACAGCATTACATGGATGACAATAGTAGTGAGCTCTCTCCAAGTGCGTGACGAGGTAATGTTGAGAATCGAAATGCCTGTCACATCGCTGGCAGTAGTGATGACGGGGGCTCTGGAGATAATGCTGAATGAGTCCTGTGCGTGTGGTGAAGTCCTTGCTGCAGTCGGAACAGATGTTATGCATTGAGGATGAGTCTTCATGTTGCTGAAGGGCATGGTCGTTGACGAAATAACGATCACAACGCTCGCAGTAAACCATGATGTGATTTTCTGGTTCAGCAGAATCAATGAGAGAAGGAACAAAAAGACAATCTTCGAGCTCACAGCAACGTTTTCATAAACAATCGAATCGGTATTGAGAAACTTGGCTCCCGGAAGGCTAAAGACGCGCAGAGGTGATCGGCATCACATGATCCAGCGCGACGCGCTTGTGGCTGAGATTTGAAAATCCAGTGCTGTATTCAATTGCGCTTTGCATCAAACCATTGCACGGAGGATAGGGTCATTGGTACAATAAGTCGTAGCTACAACCACATGTGTCGCCCGATCTTACAAAAGAATTTGCCAGGCACAAAACGAGAGTTATAGATATGCATAGGCTGAATACGGAAGTAGATAAGGTCATCAAGAACATAATCTAGTCTTGTAAGTGAGAAAATTGTGTCAGTACAGTGCACAATCAAACCATGTAGGAGACATCAGGTACATCGATGCAAATGGTGTCCTTACCGTCAGAGCAATCCTCCCAGCATTCTTCTACATCGTTGCTACCAATGTCGCCCGAAAGTACTGGAGAAGAAGTACTTTTCCGCCTCGTGACGCTCGCGTCCGAGAATCTGCCAGAAAACCGCTTCCTGCGCGGCATCATCCGAGTGGCATTCCTGACCACAGCGGGCTTGTAAAAATGAGGTCTCCGAACAACGGCTTCCTGTTTCACCTGGCAGGATTGTTGCGATAGAGCTGCGCTGGATAAAGGCAGCAGTGCGATGGCTGGCCCTATACTATAGACGGACATGTCTGTGTCGGGCAGCGTACCGTGCAACGGTGCGCGTGTAGGCTTAACAGCTACTCTTGCGATGGAGTCACATAAGAGTTGCATCGGAATGTTGGACGCGCCCCGTGCTACGATGTGTGCAGCAGGAGAACTAGTGTCTTGTGACTGGGAAGCGCAAGAATTGTAGCATACTGTGGCGTTATCCGACGTAGTACCATCACTGCTCGCAGTATCGCTGCGTGTGGTGGAGATGGGGTGGGATGCATCATCGTCATGTAAACCGTTGATGACTTGGCCTTGCCACTGTCTGCTGTCACTGTCCGATTCCGAGGCATCGCAAACGATAGCAGACGAAGGTGGGGACAATTCGTCTGCATCGTGCACACCTCTAGACTTGTGGTGTTCATGATGTTTCTTATCGGGAGGAGTTCCGGCATTAGAAGCCATCGGCGTTGTCGACTGCATCTGAACTGCAGCTAGTCGCATCAGACATCAGTAAGAACATGAAATGTACCGACGACAGGAACACATACCTGCATTTTGTCTCCTAAGCTGTTCGAGTTTAGCTTCGAGCTCTATCCGCTTTCTCTCCTCCGCCGTTGTCGACTAATTCACGTTATTAGCGCCATGTACTCAGCCATTTATCAGAAAACATTACAGAGATGTCGGCGCGAGTATCTTTGACCTTTAAGCACAAGTAAGAGATACTCCACGATAAGCCTCTGAGCATTGCTTTGAATTCCTGGAAAAATGATGTGGCGCGATGTGCCTGCAATCGAAGATTCTCAGCCTGGCAACGTTGCCTAGAGAGAACATTAGTAGAGCAATCATAAAGGAGCACGTGAATTCACATTGATAACACCAGGTTTGTCTTCTCTTCGAACGGCTTTCCAGCGAAAAGGCCCTCTCTGACAGTGTTACGCCAGATGTGTTCGGTTTCGACTAGGACCTCATCAAGTTCTTTCAGTTTCTGCGACGGAAGCTGAGACGATACGATGGCATAGAACACAGGAATTGAGGACAAGAAACCAAGAACGCCAAAAATGAGACCTAGGATGTCGAATGCAGAAGCCATGGTAGTAGTAATGAGTCTACGAGCGTGCGACAGACTGCACAAAGTCTGATAAAATGACAGGATGAGCACTCTCGATGAACGCTACGATAAGGCAAGCTCAGTCGCAGGTGGAAAATAAACGTACAGGAGGAAGATGGGGAATAGCTGTATCCTCATGTTTTTCTCCTCCATCGGAGTCCAAGTACTGGTAGGTCTTCGCTCGCACTGTAAAGGCATGTATAGAGAGCGTTTAGATTACACGTGACGCGTCTCAGCAAGCCAGGCTGCCAGCGGCTGTCCTCCAGGTGTCACCTCGGTTTCATTCCCGGATGAAACGGTGTGGCATTTCCCGAAGTACCAGCATTTGATGAAGCGCAGGATCTCAGAGTTTCCCTCTTGGACACTATGTACACCGGAGGAGGCCCAACACCACGCGAAGGCAACCGCAGAAGGCCTGTATGCCCTTTTACCTAATGAGATATTTTGGAGAGATCGTCAAACCTACCTGGAAGAGCATGGCTATCGGCTCAGATTACGATATAGACCGGGCTGGTCTCCTTCCTGGCTGAAAATGAGCGTTAACCCTACTTTCTGCGAGGATTCCATATCTTTGATGGTGCGTCTCAACCATTCATGTTTGTTTCTTCACGTTTTACCGGCGTAGTCTCGAGAAGTGATAGATGCAGTGCGAATACCTGAAGGCGATCTTGTATGTCTGAAGAGCGTAGAAAGAGGCGGGAATGAAATCCATATCGCTCAATTCCTATCTAGCTCAGAACTTCGTTCACATCCTATAAACCACTGCGTCCCCGTCATAGACGTCCTTCCAGATCCAATTGACGCCAAATCAGCCATCTTGATTATGCTCTATCTGCGACCCTTCAACAATCCAGACTTTGGTGCCGTAGGGGAAGTGGTCGAATTCATGAGGCAAACGCTCGAGGTAACTTTTCTGTGAACTATGTTGTGAAAGCTCATCATCATGTCATTTCAAGGGGCTCTGTTTTCTACACAGTCAAGGTGTCGCGCATCGGTAATCAATTTTGTGCTTTATGCCGTTGTGCTATAATCTGATATCACGTCAGCGATTGTGCCGCTGCTAACATCATGATGGATGCCCGTTCGCTATATCCCCAAGGTCATCACCCCGTTCGCCTGGAGGCAAGCCGTGATGGCATATTCATGCTATCACCGCTATCCCGATCAGACCATCCTGTCCGATATTATTTCATAGATTTCGGCATATCCTCATTAATCCCAAGGGGTGAATCTCCTTATGTTCTTGGGAGGCAAGGAAGAGACAAAGAGTTGCCTGAGATGTCCTCAGAAGTACCATACAATGCCTTCAAGGTGGATATATTCATTTTGGGCAATCTTTACAAGAAGGAATTTCTTCAGGTGAGAATCAAATTGAGTTATTAGCCGGCTGAGCATGCTAAGGCACTGGACTCCAAGGTATACTACGGTCTCGAGTTCCTCGAGCCTCTAGTGCAAGCTATGACAGTCCACCAACCAGATCGGCGTCCAACCGCCGAGGTTGCGTTCGCTATGCTAGAGGGTATTCGCCACAATTTGGACGGCCCTCTGCTACGCTGGCGTCTTCGGAGAAAAGACGAAACTACCCATGAGCGTGTGGTATACGATACTGTTGCAGTCGCTAGAGAGGGAATGTATCGCCTCAGACACTTCGTCAAATAGTTTGCACAACTACCCAGTAAGTTCTCTATTATCCCGTGTAACTTCACTGTCAATGCTATGCTGAAGATCTCTTTGGAATAGGGCACGAGATCGAAGTTGATATGGGTCGTGTTGCTTCACTTCTAGTTATCGTCTTCCGCAGAGCTTGACGAACTTCATGTCTGCAGTATCCAACCCCATTCGATTGGATTTAAACGTCAAGCTGCAGGATCGTTTGAAATGCGCTGATACACGTAGATGCGTTGGTCCTCAGAGACTGCAACAATCTAGAGCGGCTTTTCCCGAAGTCTTTGGGTGGCTTATACACAGTACTGGACGTGACACTGTTTCGGTTTCACTTGCACTCGTTAGTCGTCCTTGTCTGACTTTGTTGATCACTAATGGTCGGCCTTCTGTAGAAAATGTTGTAAGATGTCGTGTGCGAAACTCCGTTGTCGGACTGCGTTAGCGTTGCGGATTCGTTACATGATTGTACCGTGGGGGCGATCGTTGATAATCGTGCTCGGGATATAGGAAACGCAATAAGGTCTCCGAGTAAACTACGCGGATCGCCGATAGCGCAGTCCATCGTGACCCCGCCCTTTGGAGTATCCCGCTCACTTCACCCTTCTGATATACATCTACGTTCACAGATGTCATTTTGCTTTTCTCCGGCTCTCTCCCGTGATCCGTCGCGTCTTCCTCTTCTGAAACCCTACTGCAACGTTATCGCTGTTTCCGTCCATACGAAGCTTGCCGTGGAACGGTCTGGTTCTCTCTTTAACGTTCTGATTTTCGGGAGCGTTAACGCTAGATCGCGACCTAGATTCACGATCTACTCGTTCATTGCCTCCGCTCCCGATACCGACACTACCCCGACGACGGAACTGTATTCCCTTCCATTGAATCTGTCCGTTATTCCATGTTCAAAGGTGGTTCTGGTGACTTGAACTGGTGATCTCGGCTAGTACGCATTGAACGTTACTTGCGCGACTGGTCAGCTATGGTCTTCTCTGGCTGCCATCATCGGCACGACCATTCTCGGATTGCGTGATGGCCAGGTCGCTCTGGTCTCCTGTTGTCTGTCCTCGTATCCCACCGCTGCGGCCGCCTCCCTGCGCTTCTGAGACTTGGCCAGTTGTGCATCATCGCATGATTCGTTCTTGCTACATCTTCAGCAATCGCCACGAATGAACAAGAAAAAATCATATTCTGCATCGTACATCTGAGGTGCCGTTTCGCTGTTTGGTGCATCCATTGTAAAATAGCCAACTTCGACATGGAGTCGTCTCACGCATACCGGCTTGCACTGCGGCATCGGTCAGTGCTGATATTTGTTATTTATGCAGTCGGTGTCGCAAGCTTGTCAAACACTGCTAAGCACCTCTCAGGAAAATTCGAATGTTGCGCATGAACACCTTCATCAGTGAGCGCGCAGAGCTACCCAGGCGGTAAGTCCCAAATCACTTGCAAAGGTGGTCTTTCGCCTCCAATCCGACGATGTGGATTTGGTTCATTGAGCAGATCATGCCGAATGCAGCCGGGCGATTGCCTCGAGTGCGTGGATGGTCTTCCCAACCTTGTCACATGCGAGGGGGAGGATTCTCATCGGCGGCTCGGCACCTATTCCGGCGTTTCTCACCCGTGCGATTCTGCTACAAGTCGTGGAAGCCGCCGTTGACAGGTATGTCGTATCTATGTGATATCTGTACTCACATCATCTAGCGCCATGTGGCATTGACATCACTCCCCTCCTTTACTTAAGTGGAGCTCAACCATCGTGGTTTCACGGACACTCCGTCGATCCCTACTCTTCGATATGAGTCACACAGTTACTACTGCCTCGTCTTATTCTACGCTTATTAACCACGTCCAGCATCCGATGCCTGACCCTGGCGCGCCTGCCCCCTCCGACAATGACTCTCCCACTTCCGACGCAAGTGTTTCCTGTGCAGATTCGACGGTATGGAGCCAGAATCTGTCTGCGTCGTTCGGTGCTATCGTAGACCAGATTAACGCGGCGTTCCAGACGCTTGAGGCCAACCATAGCCATGGGGATACGGCGAATGCGCTCGCAGGGATCGCGGCGCGCCTGCGCATGATTGAGGAAAACCAAGAGCGGCTTGCGGAGGAGCTGCAAGCAGTCAAGGCACAGCTTGGCAGGCACCATACGAATGGAAAGGAGCGTGAGGAGATGGTGATCGAAACGCTTGGAGAGGAGGCTGAGCCTGTCGACCTCGCAAAGGCTGTGCAGGAGTTGACTAAGAAAGTGGATGGTCTTGCAAATACTGTCAAGCTCGAGTGCGTGACCAGACTCCGTTCTTACAGCGTCCTTGTCTGATCCTAAATTGTCGCCTTTGCCTAGCCAACAGCGCTTGCATGCCCGCCTGATGAATTCGAACATCACGACGAAGAAGGAGACACTCAAACCTGTCATTGGCAACAATGGAAAGCCGCCGCAAAACTACCCTGCTACCAAAGGCGAATTTGAGCACATAACTAGTACGTTTCATTCGTTATCCCTCATGATGCTACCACGCTGTTCTGGGTTGACACGTGGTATCATACATGCCGTATTCTCATGCCTTCGTTGATTTTTTCTTTTCGCTAATACAACTACTCCCAGAGGAACGATACGAAGAATTCATGAAGGCGTACGGACTGCCTATCAAAGGAGATACCAACACCAAGCGAGAGGTCTTGCGCGAGTTCTTAGGGTTAACTCCCTTGCAGTAAGCCACCGGTGCCTTGCGCTTGGGAACGACAGGCCATATCTCCGTCCTTCGAAAAGTGCAACGGTGACGAAACGAGCGTGGATGTACCAGGGTATGATTGGTATGGAGAGTCCGTTCAGTCATCGTTTGTATCTTTAGTCGATCCTACCTACGTAGCATGCCACCTCTAGATCTTTACGCCTCGGTCGGGAATAGCCTTTCACCAATTAAAGTAGTGCAACGTTGCTCGAAAGGTCTGGTGTCGAATGACATCGATGTGTTGAGCAATGATTCATTCGTTCTTTGCATTCCTTCGCTGTGCTGGGCCACTGAATGGAATCTGATTCTCGTCGGAATGCAGATTGCCGAAGTCTGTTTTTCTGCCGAACTATTGACTTGACCCGGTATCTTCATGCAGCGCGTCTTGTCCCTGTTGCATGGTTGTTCAGACCCGCTGGGTACCGGCGTCTCCGTTGTATACGCCCGGCCCGCTCGTCTTGCGCGTCCATTTCTCACTGCTGTTCGAATTCTGCGCTTGTTTCCGTGCAGTCATCTGCATACCGGGCTTGAACACGGTGGGTCACTATGAAGCATTTCTCTTGTGCTCATTGCGCGACGTAACGGCGGTCACTTCCATTAACTCTTACAATTGACGCTGTTCCTTGGCCTCTGCGCGGTTCCACACTGTGTCCGTTTCTCTACCACGGGCAGTGAGTGTCTTGGCGCTGGTCTGCTTGAAGAGCGTTCTCAGGACGTAGGCTCGGGCGTGGCATCTGAATGAATCGCTGCGTAGTTGCTTGGATGCAGGGCAACAAAAGAAGATTTTAGGACCTTTAAGAATCTCGGACAGCGCTGGTGCTCTGGCGGTGCGCTTGTAAAATGAAACGCAGTCTCCGTTCAGTTGTGCCGTTGCCGCGTGGCATTCGATGAATTGCCATTCATCTAGTTTTCTTCCCACATGTCTCTTTGGCCAATTTTCAAATTACCCATTTGTCGCCTGCTTTGTCCATGACGAGGGACAGCTCCAAGAAGCAAGCTCATTAATGTGCCATGCTGTGGCCAGCCGAGCCCTTCCACAGCTCAACAGTATAAGTCGCAAGCACCTGACACCACTTGCCACAACGCTTCCACCATGACTCAGTGCTGCAGGATGTGAGTGATACCTCAATTTCTTTTCCATTGTCTCAACAACATTGATACTTGAAATGTTCAGCATTAACATCGACAAACAGCAGTTCCTCGGCGACAACTTCTATGGGCCACTGGGAAGATGGCTCTTCAGTAACTCCGTAGACCGCCCACTGACGGAGCTTTTCGCGATACCATTTGATACGCCGATTACTCGTGTACTTGAGGTATGCCGCACTCTACCGTATGATTGCTTCTCTGACAATACTGCGTTTACAGGACTTTCCCATAGTTGAGCGGATGCGTGTCAATGCTCTTGGAAAGCTCGACAAGTTTCCGAACGAAGTGCTGGCGATGATATTCGACTGTTTTGACAGTGTACCGGACGCGATCTGTCTCGGACTCGTGAACGGTTACTTCCTGGCCCTCGGCCGCAAGCGTATCCACGCCCTCATTATCGCAAGATCTGCACCCTGGAGTGGCGACCGCATCATCTGCCTTGGCAAGCGCTCACGAGAGGACCATTTTCCAGCTGGTATGCTCTCCGAGCACGAGAAGCACATGCTCGGCATGCTCAAGCTGCAAGATGACTCCCCTGCTGCTTGTGCAGCCGACAGCGACGATGATTCAAATTCCGATTGGCCTGGCCTGTATGACTACGCGATGGAACATTTTGAAGAGATTTTCCCCAATACGAATACACAGAAGACCAAGGACATGTCATTGCTCATGCGCAACCTACCAGCCCCATACTCTGCGCAGAGTATGTCTGAGCCAGACTACGTCGACGGCGCCCAGCCCAGTACCGTCTGGGCGCTTTGTAACCTCTCTAAGCGAGAGTACGTTCGTGGAGACAAGACAGCTCAGCTCACGCACTCTGCTACTAAAGGCCCCTGCACCGATGGCTCCGTCGGCCTCGGGCACGTCCTCGTTACGCGCATTTGCTGGTCTTCGGATTCTAGGGTTGGACTGCAATACAATGGTGACCTGCACCAGGGCCCATGGGCAGGGGACCGTATCGTCATCACGACGCTCGACCGGATGCCGATTGGGCACTGGACGGACATCTCAAAGGAGGCCCTGAAACTCGTTGAGGCCGTCTGGGATGCTGAGTTCGCAAACTTCAAGCACCCTGATTGGCGCAAACTCAACTGGTGAGTGCACATACATGGAACAGGGCGATACATTGGAGAGAACAGATGGCTTGCGCGGGAGAAGAAAACGTGGGAGGACGAATATATGCTGTGCACCGAGCTGGCTCGATGAGCAGGAACGTCTTGGTTATATCTGATTTTTCTGTGAACATATTTGCTTCCTGTTTTATCTGTGATGAGCACATGTTTCAACCTGGACCTCGTCATCAGTAACACTAGTGATATAACTCACTGGACAGTTTTACATGCAGTATAGGCTCACAGGAATGTTACTGGATTGTGCGAGCTCTGACCCCCCGAGTCAGTAGCGCTGCTAGCTCGACATTGAATGAAGAGAGGATTAGACGTGCGACGCGAACGAACCTGACTATCTTTTTTCGACTTATTCGTCTGCTATGTCAAACTCGGTATCTCATATCACCACCACCACGTCGGAACGGGCTTTAGTAGAGCCGCGGCAGTATCAGCGTAGACGTACTCGCACTTGGTGGTAGAGCCAGAGGTGAACACAGGTGGTGCTGCAGGAGTTCAAAAGAGCACTTTGACAGCCACCTGGTCGATTGATGTGCATCTCGCGTCTCTCGTCTGCGGAGCGCGTACCGTCAGTTAAATCATTGTTTCGAGCATTTTCACGGAAGAAAATCTCCTGAGGAAAGGCAAGTGGAGAACGCTTCGAGGCCCACAGTACGCACAAAGAGTTCGAGAACGCGAGGGCCGCATATTGTGAGCAGTGAATAGCGTGCGCCGTGCGCACCAAGTCCTGGAGAGGAGCGAAAACTTGAAGGGCTACCGAGGGATGGCGAGAAAAGTCTGACTTTTATATCACCAGAAACGAGCTATTCTTGCAAAGATGGTTCTAAACGTGTTGCATGTTGTTGTGAGAGCCGCAAATTACGCCACTGGTCACAGGCACGTGCCTGTGACGGCCCCATCCATTGCACCTCGAGATCTCCAACTCTCTGCCACCAGCCGCGTGGCACGCACAAACAGTATTTAAAGCTGCGCAGCGCGTGGCTCGCTACCAGTTTCTTTGTTTCCATTCTGTATATAATCTTGCTTTCTAACGATTCGGCCTTCCATCCACTGCCACCACGATGGATCACCAAGCCATGCTAGTCTCGCCGGTCTCACACGAAAGGTACGACGGGCCATACGCGCTCTGCCAAACGGAAATTTTCTGGAGTGAACGATATGCGTTTCTTGCGAGCGTAGGTTACCAACTGCGCGTGCGCTACCGTCCGGACTGGTTCCCGTCGTGGCTGGCCACCGGGAAGGACCCTGAGGACTGCGAGGATTCTGCCTGCAACTCTGTGCGCGTTCTCTTATCTCCTGATGATAAATACGATACTCATGCTCATGTATGATTGCAGGAGGTGAACGCTATGGATGCCACTGGACAGGACGGCCAACGCGTGACGATCAGGGTCGTGGAACGAGGTAAGACCGAGCAAGTGATGGAGCACCTCGAGAAGCGCGACCAGGTCTCGGGCTCTGAGGACCGCTACTGCGTTCCGTTCCTGGACTTTCTGCACGATCCGTTTCTTGTCGACTATGACCTGATGATCACGCCGTATCTCCGTCCTTTCAACGATCCGGGGCTCACCAACACGAGTCACGTAGTCGACTTTGTGCTGCAAACGCTTCGGGTGCGTCTTCAGTTTATCTCTAGGCTCTTGTGGATGACTGAAGCGTCGAATCCGATCTTCCTTCCTCCGCAGGCCCTGGCTTTCCTGCATGCCAACCAAGTGGCGCATCGGTACGTAACGCCCAATAAACCATTCACTCTCTCATTCTGACGCGACGTGTCGACGTCGACACAGAAACATACAGGCCAGAAACATCATGATGGACGCCTCCTCTCTCTACCCAATGGGGCACCACCCCATTCGGCTCAACAGCGCGCGGGACGGCACCACCAGCGCCGTCCTCATGAACCGCATCCGGCGGCCCGTCCGGTACTACCTCGTCGACTTCTCCCGCGCCACGCAATTCGAGCCCGGCGAGTACCCATTCGTGGTTTACAAGAGAGGGCAGGACTGGCGCCTCCCGGAGCGCACGATGCCCCCGCGGCGCATGCACATCGACGCGTTCAAGGTGGACGTATACCACCTCGGCCGGCTGTACGAATCCGCGTTTCTCCGCGCGGGGGAGGCGCAGTACCCCGAGGCGGGGTGGCCGCTCGCGAGCCTCGAGATCCTCGTGGCTTCGATGGTGCACCCCCGGCCGGAGATGCGCCTCCCGGCGCGCGGTGCGCTGCTGATGGCGCAGTATGTGTTCTCGAAGGTGAATGTGCCGCCGTGCACGGGCATATGGAGGACGCCGCAGCCGCCTGTGATGCAGCACCCCCGCCGCGTGGCGCTCTCCGCCGCGGTGATCATGACTGACTATCTCGTCACCGAGCTGGAAAAGCTGGCGTCTGAACCAGGTGCGTTGGAGTTACAACAGCCAGTCCTCGATGTCTGTCCGCCCGACTTCTTCGCGTCATCGTTTTCGTATTGGAGCGCGTTGGCGGCGGCCTGCATCGTCGGCGACAAGTGTTCCAATTCCTTCGACGTTCTTTCACGATCCTAAGCACCTTATTTAACGCTCGTTCATGACCTAACTTATGAGAGCTGGTACTCTCTCTGCGTTCTTTTGTATTGGTCGATCGTAGATGCTGTATTTATGCTCGGCCGGTATTTTTATGTGGGTATTTCTGAAGTCTACTTCCGTCCTAACCGAGGTAGCTTTTCCTTCGCAGCAGCCGTGCCGCCCAGTACGTTCTGCCGAACGCGTGCGCCAATGCTCGCTGGGAGCACAAGGAGTCCACGTCGATAGCCCGACAGCACAATCTTACAAAAGCACTCCGAGCGGGTCGTAGCGCTGAGAACCCATCGAGACGAAGAGCGCACCGGTATAGCACGCTCGAGGCGGTGCCCTAGTCAGAGCGGAACTCAGAAAGCGCAAAGCGTCATGTGCACTCTGGCGCACGACGTGCAAGGTAAGGCGGATATGGGCCTCACGCACCTGATGGCTTGCGAACCTCGGTGCGAGATAGATGTGGGGCACCGACCAGTCGCCGGTCTCCATCGTCGAAGGTAAGCGCACCGCAGCTATGCGGGGTAGAATGGCCACCCAACTGAGAGATACGAGGACGCACCCTCCGGCGAAATATGATATAGAGTAAGACACTAGCACGTCGCGGGCGACTTGGCTCGTCGATCGATGTTGAGCTCTACGTCAACTAGGGGGGTACTTACAAACAGAACCAAGAGTTTCAGACACAGGCATATCGCGGATGACTCGACCCAGATCTTCGCCGGCGGCTGCGTTCACCTCGCGAAACGGCTGTCTACAGGGGACGTACGCCACAACGACAAACATCCACAAGCCGACTTCAAATCTCGCCAGACGCAGATTACCAACACATCACCCATCTCCGGTCAACACCACAACGGGGAGTACGTACCCACGACAAACGCTGCATGCTGGAGCACCTGTGGTCAGGCGCAATTATAACGCACCAGTTGTCATTATCGATCCCCCCCGAAATATTCGTACGTTCCTCCAACGTACAGCGGCGTGCGCGCGCGGGTCGAACGCTCAGCGGGAGGTCTTCAGAAGACACGACTCATCACTCCGGCCGAAGAGACCCACCCGACCGGGTGCCCGCTCGTCAGCCTCGCGCGCCTCGACGGAATCATAACACGAGCTAGAAGAGAGCACATCGATATCGCGCCGGCACCGAACCAGCGCCAGCAGCACCAAGCACCACAACCCATAACCAGGCAACGACTGAGCCCGAGCACCAAAAACGCGCCACCACCAGCCGCAGGCAGATCTGCACACACATTATTCGAGTCGAAACTTGGACAACATATAGAGCACAGCCGCGTGCGCAGAGGTCCCGATGGACGATGAAAGTTATAAAACGATCGGTTCCGCGATCGTGGGCCTGCTGTACATCCAGAAAAGCCCGTACGCTCGCAGGGGGCCGTGGAAATACCTTGCAGGAATACTGGCATATATAGATAGTTTAACCGGCGAACGGAGATATTTTTAGTAGCTAGGCGACACCGCGCAGCGTCACGGTGCAACGAAAAAGTCACCCAGTCGTTTGCGCGCATTTGGCTACACCCTCCGGATTCAACACGCACAAACAACGCGCCACCTCCGCCTCCGCCGATATCATGATACCGCCCCGCCCGCCTCTCCAGCAGGAAGGTATCTCTGCGCCCAAGCACAAGTACAGACGTACGCAATAGGGAGCATGGCACTACGGGCACGGTCCAAGCCGGGGGGTCCGGAGCGAGTCCGGTACACCTACCGCTGCTTTGCCACCACATATATATATCATTGTCAGACCGCGTCATCCCGGCGCACTGGCGCATGACATTCCGGTGGTCAGACCAGTGCCCCCGTGCCGCTGTGAAATCCGCGCTATACTTCGCACGAGTCCTTGAGCTTGGGACGCGAGGGTGGGCGGCGGTACAATGAGCGTGCCAGTGCGGTGACGCGAAGGAGGGGAGTCTGGCGTGCGTAGCTATAGTCATAGCAGGCACAATACGGATTCGAACTCGGGATGGATTGGAGGGGCGTACCACGCAACGGTTGCCAGCGCATCTAGCTCGAGCGCGTCCGCCCGTATATTCAAAGCTTTGAAATTCGGCCGTTGCAGTCCTGCGAGTTGGTGAAATGAGTACCCGAGGCCCCTGCGCCCACGCATACATGAGAACAAACGGGACGTGGCCCACCCACCCCTCATCGGTGCTGGGCCAGCCCGCAGAGTAGAACGGTCATTATTCGCACTTGGCGCTCATCCTAAGTACCGGTATCCTCTGATACGTTCAGTGTACACTCCAATGGTATCCCTATCAGTCCATGCCTGCCCGCCCTCGATCCGTGCCTCGCTACGCGCCATACAAGCTGACGCCCAAATCGCGTATACGCCCCTTCTCGATATCATACACCCAGCCGTGCACGGCGACGCTCCGCCCCGCGGCCCACGCGTCCCGGATCGTCTGCGCGGCAGCGAGGTTCGCGACCTGCGCGCGCACGTTGGCCTCGACGAGCGTGCGGACGTCGGAGCGGAGGTCGCGCGCGAGCGCTGTGAGCGGGGCGAGCCAGCGAGCGAGGGGCGTCGCGGGCTCCACGTCGTCGTCAATGGCGGCGGCGGCGGCATGGCAGGCGGCAGCGCCCCCACATTGGGTGTGCCCTGCGATGATGACGTGGGAGACGCGGAGTTCGTCGACGGCGTAGGCGAGCACCGCGAGCGCGTTCTCGTCCGTCGGGTGGAATTGGCTGTGCGGGGCGCAAGGTCAGCGCGAGCGAAGCGAAAGGAAGGGGAGGGGAAGGGGAAGAAGAAGAGCGTACTTGGCGATGTTGCGGTGGACGAAGATGTCGCCGGGCCTGCAGGCGGTGAGGACGGACTCGGGCACGCGCGAGTCGGCACAGCCGATCCACAGCACCTGTATCAGTGCGGGTCAACCAGTCGGTCAGTGTGTGCGGGGACGGGCGGACGCGCGCACCTTTGGGGACTGGCCCTCTGCGCACTTTGCGAAGAAGCCGGGCTCGGCGGTCTCGACATCGTTTGCCCACTGGGCATTGTTCGCGAGGAGGCGGGCGAGGATGGGGTCTTCTGTGGCCATCCTGCTGTGGGGGGAGATGAGATGGCCCACACGTCCCCAGCCGGACGCTTTATAGCGACGCGGTGGCTGCTGGGGAGCTAATTATATCTCTGAGCTATTTCGAGCCAGCTCGCTTCTGCGATCGCGATCTGCACGCATCGGGCGATCCGCCGCCCTGGTTCGTTCGTCATGCGTCGGGGCTCTCTCCAGCGTCGGTGGGTCACCGGTCACCAGCAAACAAAGTATGGCCATCGGAGGCGGGCTCGCCGCGGCGTGCGGTCGTCGGTCTCTGTGCGCAGCGGTGATGATGATATCATCGCGACGTCTGCCACGCTGCACGAGCAACCTGATTGGCCCGCCCGCGCCGCGCTCGCCCCAGCCAATCGGCCGCTGGCTGCGCCGGCGCGGTGGCGACCGTTGCGTCGTGCGCCCGCCGTGCGACGTCGTGCTCACCTCCTTGCTCGCGCCGGCGCCGGGTGATAGCGTTCGTCACCCGTCCGGATCCCGTCTCCACAGGTCTCGCCTGCATCTGCCATCCGCATCACGCCCGGACCCGTTTGTCCGTCGAGGGCCCGGTGGTCATACATGGTGATGCAGAGAGTCCGCGCTCCTCGGTCGACGTCATCGTGCATACCACCTCGTTCCTGGTCCTCGATCGTAGTGAGCAGCGCGCCTCGGATGCCGGTCCTACAACACCCGCCCGTCGCATCACAGCGCGCGTCCGTGAGCGCACACATCCGAACCCATCCGCACACGGTCGGTACGCTCGCAGCTCGCAGTCGCCATGGCACGCAACAACCCGGAGTCGGAGCAGACATCGCGACCAACACCCGCCGCGCTGCGCGGTACCGGTGTGCGGCAGCGGGAGACACCGGGGCTCACCCGCCGGATCGGAGAAGCTTATGCACTCGTCGCGGACCTGCACATGGAGAGCGAGACGCGCACCGCAGCTATATCCTGCATGATGCCCGTCCGAGGCTGATGCACCCCAGCGTAGGATCCAGACGGTCCTAGGTCAGAGTCAGACCATCTATCCTCACCTACCGCATGGCAAGGAGAGCCAGGTCTGCGCCTCGCTCGCGGTTCCACGCGCGATGGTGACAACTGCCGCACAGCGACCAGGAACTACCGATCCCGAGGTGGCTCGCGCCGCTCAGCGCGGTCGGATCCGCAGCGCGTCGAGCCTCCCTACAACAAGCCAGCAACGTTGCGACACACGAGGAGACTGCTACCTCGCTGGCACGGGGGATGAGAGGCACCGCGAGCCCAGCGGGTGCGATCCGGATCTCAACGGGTGCTAGAGCGGGGAACAAAACACGCACGTCGAGGACCACGGCCCGTAGCATCAGTCCAGCCAGATCGTGAGCGCGTACGGTCGTGAAATGGCATGGGCTCGAACCTGTGCCACCAACCAGGCCAAGATCCCAATGCCCACACACGCCGCCCGCCAGCGCCACCATCCGCCTCCGTCCACCACCTAGATCCCGACTATCGGCGCACGGCCTACCTCTAAAAGTCGCAGAGAGACGCACAACGCGCCAAGTACCCGCTGCTTAGTACGTATCCGCATCAGCCCCGAGGCGCATTTGAACAAACCTCCCTTCCCCCCCTCTTTCGTTCTTTCAGAAATTCGTTCCGGAAAAGTCGCCGAGGGCCATCTGCGCCTCAGCCAAAGGCGGCCTGACAGAAAAAAAGGTGATTTTGGCGTTTCTTGAACGTCGTCAAACGTGGACCGCAATATGTCCGTCAGTTCGACGCCCCGTCGGCGTCGCACGCTCCACCATGCAAACGGAGCACCGGCCGCGATCGGAATACGCACCGGGGCGTGCGACGAGGTACACCGATTGCCAGCGCCGTCGGTGGTGTTGCAACATTGACAGCCGTGAGGGGTTGCACGCGAATGGTCCCGCGCGGGCGGCGGCGCGAGGAGCTCCAATTACCTGCTCGCAGTGACGTCAGACGGTGGAGCCAAGAGCTGTGGATGCGGTGGGGAAGTAGAAAACGCAGTCGACGTGTCGCGTCTCCCAGAAAAAGCCAGAGAGACAGTTGCATACGTAGATGCAGATGAGATCAAGACGCGCTCAGCGTGTGGCGAATAGTCACGATGGACGTATGGTCGTACTGGGTGGCGAATACCGTAACGCACCAGATCTTCAGCGACGAAGTGGTGCAGCGATAAGACGCAGCACTGGGCGCACTGGCATTTTGCACCATCTTTAGGCACACGGTGACTCGAGACGGACTTCTGAAAACTGGGGACGCGTCAGCGGAGTACAGGGGTACATAGCAAATACTACCATACCCGCTGCACGATCTCGTCATGCCAGTTCTTCGAACCACAGGGTCGCGGTGCACGGTATCTGCGCTCCAGCCGCACCTTTCCGTCTCTTCGGACACCGAGGAGACAGACGATCAGGCTGGAGCACAAATACGTCGGATGGGGTTGTCATAAGATATCAGACCGAGTCCGTTGGGAAAGATAGAAATAGCTTGAGCCGATCTGTGAGGGTTCCGAGTTAGCTAGCTATTGGACTTTGTCTTGGGAAGACCTGGCACGATACCTGTGTTTCAGTCACCTAGTAGGACCCCTGCAAATCCACTGAAAGCTCCGATGCACCCATTCCCGAAGATGGCCAAAAAGTCGTCGAAAGTCAGCGAAACACCCCCGAAAAGTGACCCTGAGGTTAGGTCCAGAACCCCCGAAAACTGAGGTGGCTGGTGGATCTCTCAGGTTTCGGAGGATGGGCCTAAAACTGAGACATATGTGGTGGTTTAGGAGAAATTTTTTGATAATTTGGTTCACAGGGCTTGGGTTTTGCGCAGGAAGCGAAAATTTTGTCCCGCCGTCGAACGTAATTCTGGGACGATCCCACCTACTCTACTAGAATAGTCTTTCAAAGGAATAACGGTATCTTCGCACCCCTCCTTCTCACCTCAGCCCGCCACAAGTGCAACAGTGGCGTCGGCCGCATCGATAACGACGCCAGAGCTCGAGCAGACACTCACAATGCTCACGTCCCACCGGTCGGTACTGGGGCTACATGCTGCTCTCGCGGAGCCACCCCGTGACAATATTTCGCAGAATTGCATGCAAGCTACTCCGCCATTCCACGGATGTTCCAACTTGACTTGTGTACCACGGTGTCGGACCATACTAGTTACCCCCAGAGGAATTTGGAGAAACTACCGCATCGGAGCAATCACCGTTTTTGCTCGCGGAGACGGAATTTGACGCAGACGAGTCCTCTTCCTCACGCGGGGATGATTGTAGTTCATTGAAGTCTCCAGCCAAACTCTGAATGGCTCAGCAAACTGGGATGGGTCGACGTACTTCCGATTCTTCATATTGTGCAATTTACCCTCTCCTGGCTCCATCGAGCGGAATTCCCTCCGGTCGCACTCATTGCGGGAGACCACCTCACGGTTGTGAAATATCGCTACTGGACGTCCGTCGCGTTGGGGGATAAGATCTGCTGTCATGCTCACTGTGACTGGATTCAGAACTTCGAACCTTTTTTTGCTTCGTGTCGAGTCGTGTATGTAAGCGAATGTTTCGCCGCCAGTCGTTTCAATCGTACCTAGAGAGACTGGCGATGTAATCTTGTTTCTTACAGACCTTGTTGACGAAGATGAGTTCGTGCACTGAGGACGCATATCCAGCCTTCGCGCCTTACGGTTGTGGAGATCCTATCAGTAGCACTTTCTGCTTGAACTTTGCAGTCATTAGAAAAGGGGTCAACGGTGGAAATGAGAACAAGCTTTTGTGGTTGGCCCTTCATACATCACGTCGTGTCACCCAGCGCGTCAACTTGTCGCCAACGTACGCGGCCGCGACGTGCACATCGCTCCTCGTCGCTTGCTTTGTACCATGAGCTCGACACCGTCAACATCAGCGCCAGTTGCCCACAATGCTTTTCCACCTCCATCCAGACCGTCTGCAGGAAGATCTCCGCGAATTGCACCCCATTCGCACATCAAAGGGCTTGGATTGACATCTGAAGGATTCGCATCCATCGACGGCGCAGGATTCATTGGTCAAACCAACGCTCGTGAGGTGCGCCTATATTCACCACCTATTTATTCAATGTAACTTGCTACAGGCTTGCGGTGTGGTTGTTGATCTCATAAAATCACGAAAATTCTCTGGACGCGCCTTGTTGCTCGTTGGTGCGCCTGGAACAGGAAAAACTGCATTGGCTCTCGCTGTATCCCATGAATTGGGTGCAAAGGTACCGTTTTGTCCCATGGTTGGGTCAGAAGTCTACAGTACCGAAGTCAAAAAGACACAAGTTCTCGCAGAGGCGTTTAGAAGGGCCATAGGTGCGTTACACCTCTTTTGCGCCACCCTGCGCACACTTTACTGGCATATGACACCCCGTCATACCTTACTGGCATGTGCCGCCCTGCTCACACTTTACTGGCAGGGCTCAGAATAAAAGAGACAAAAGATGTCTACGAGGGAGAACTCACGGAAATTACGCCGACAGAGGCAGAGAATCCATTGAGCGGTTATGGCAAGACCATTTCACACGTCATCGTTGGTCTCAAAACGGCCAGGGGCACGAAACAGTTGCGTTTGGACCCTATCATATATGAGGCTATTCTCAAGGAAAAGATTGTAGTTGGAGATGTGGTCTATATTGAACACCAAACTGGTGCCGTAAAGGTATGTAAATCGTTGTGGTCGTACCCCGTTCTTACGCGTGGATCAGCGTGTTGGGCGTTCAGACGCGTATGCTTCTTCCTATGACCTCGAATCGGAGACATATGTCCCACTCCCAAAAGGCGACGTGCACAAGCGCAAAGAGCTCGTGCAAGACGTCACTCTAGGCGGTCTTGATGCTGCCAATGCGCGGCCTCAAGGTGGTCAAGATATTATGAGCGTCATGGGCTCTCTTATAAAGTCCGGCCGCACAGAAGTTACTGAAAAGCTCCGACGCGAGGTCACCAAGGTTGTCCAGGGATACGTCGAGCAGGGTGTTGCGGAGGTGGTGCCCGGAGTCGTGTTTATTGACGAGGTCCACATGTTGGATATCGAGTGCTTTACTTATTTGAACGCGTTGCTCGAGTCTCCAATGGCGCCGACTGTGATTCTGGCCACGAATCGTGGGCAGTCGCTTGTACGAGGAACGTCGGATATTGTTTCTCCCCATGGTATACCGGTGGATCTTCTCGATCGGTATGTGCAGCATTTTTTATATTATTACAGCATTTGCTTGATTCGGCCATAGGTGCATGATCGTGAAGACGGACAGCTATACACGCGATCAAGTCGGAAAAGTTGTTCAGCTGCGCGCTACGGTCGAGGGATTGAAACATGGCGAAGGCGTTATCGACCGGTTAGCGGCCGAGGGGGAGAAGAGTTCGCTACGGTATGGAGCGTGCTTAGCATTCAAGCCTGTGCTCATTGCTTTTGCTCCTAGATACGCACTGCAGCTGCTTACGCCTGCATCGATATTGGCGCAGCTGGCCGGCCGAAGCCAGATTGAGCTGGAGGATATCGGGGAGACGACAGAGCTGTTTTTGGATACGAAAACGAGTGCGAGTAATCTTACAAGTCGGCAATAACGCGTATGTTGAATACTGAAGCTCTCGGCAAATAGGTGCAAATAAACAGACTCGGAGAGTCGTATCGTCCGATTCGTCGTCGGCGGCTTCGGACACACTATTCATCATGCCTTCCACCTTTCCCATCGAAATATTCGAGCAGGTAATCGACGAAGTAGCGGATAACGGCGTACTGTTGTGTCGTCATGATGATCTCTTCTCGTGGCGAGAGAGGCAAAGCGACGTGATAGCGTGGGGAGAGAGTCGAAGAGACATGATGGCGTGCGCTGTGACGTGCACTGCGTGGTATCCCAGAAGCCTTCTCAACCTCATGAGCTTGGTAGTTCTCCGGAATACCAGACAACTGGCGGGATTTGCAAAGCTGATCAGAACGAAACCATCCTTGGACAAACTTGTGCAAAGCATTCTGCTCCGGCCGTCCCCTGCCAGGTCCGGTGGAACTCATGTTGCAGAATTCCCTTTATTGCTTGCCAGGAAGCTGAGAAAATTACGCCTCCTCGAGGTAACTCACACCGACTGGAGAACGACCCTGACACACAATAGCTTCTTCATGTGTCTGTCAGAATTCATTTCAGTCACCAGTGTCCGACTTGTCCGCGTCCATTTTCGCAGTCTGCACGACCTTGGAAGATTCATATGTGCATTTCCTCTCCTCTCCTCTCTTTCTTGCAGAGATGTCACCTGGGACAACAATGTGTACAATTTGCAGGTGTTGCGCCGCTTCGCCGTGCGAATGAATGGTGTCGAATTGCTCGATCTAAACTTGGATCCGCGCTATGCCGCCAATGCCGTCAAATTTTGGGAGACCATCATGATACCCAATTCCCTCCGCTCTGTCATGGTAGTGGGCAATTTTCTTACGATGGATGCGATAATGGACATGAACTTAGGGTGTCTCTGGGCATCTGCAGATGCGGCATTGCGTCGTGTCGGAGTGGCTCTTGACATGCAAGAGATAGGCCTAGATGTCGAACGCTCACGATTCCTCGTTGGTGAGTGCAGCCTATAGTGGTCAACATGCTGGTATACTGTATCACCTTTGACAATACCTACTGGCACAGCACATTATCTGAATCTCTCCCATAATGCCTACCTTGAGTTCTTACAGATAGACTTGCAAGTTACCGACTTCAAGGCTGATTACGGAGTGGTGGTTGATATGCTGTCACAGGTCACCTCCTACCGAATGAAAAGCCTCCACTTCAACATGTATTTTTCATTCTTTTACCCTGGAATGGTACAGATTATACTGGACAGTTTCCACTGTGCGGAAATCAGCGAGTTACTGGCTCGTCCTCAGTTTGCCACTCTCAAGAAGGTTGTATTCCAGGCGCATACTGTCTCTTTGAATGAAGAAAGGTGGATCACGGAAGATATCATCAAAGAGTACAATCTTCCATCTAGATTTCCAGAGCTTCACGCGCGGGGTATCTTGCAGAAAGTAGGTATCTTGTCGGGAGGGTTTTTGACATGAGATCTCATATTTTCTCCACAGCCTCGAGAGGTTGGCCAAACAATGGTTCAATGATGCTGGGTGATAGTATCTGGAATCTCGTGCAGATCCCAATTCTAGCACATATCCAGCATTATATTCTCGAAAATACTCTCTCACTCAGTCTGATGCTGTAGCATCTCTACAAGTTGCTTTCTCATCATCGATCCTTTCGCCGTCCCCTCTCTCTCAACAATCTCGAGCATTCTATTTGTCTCCTAGCGGTCTATATTTATTGGCCTCCCATTTGCACGGATCTTCTTGCTGCCTTCTGAGCATTCCGGAGATGTTTGGCGGCAGTGCAGCCTCATCAAACCTGCGGCATCCAGGGTCACTGTTTCCTGCATTCTTTTGCGCCCCTAGACAGCCTCCCCCGCACTTGTCCGAAGCGCTCTACCATCTTCTTTATGTTGCTCATTGTGGTACGTCCCGTGCCAAAACGGTGCCTTTCTAGGTTATCTTTCACGAACCATGTATAACAATACCAAGCGTCACTTCCAGTGAACGTTCGAGCGGCTTCGGATCTCCACTGCACTTGGAAGACATTGCAGCAACTCATCCGTTTTGCAGCGTATTTTCTATCCTTCTAGGTGGCGTTTTCCTTTCTATTTAGGTGGTGCTTTCTTCTCCATCACCGTCTCGATCTGCAGGCTGTGACGGTACGCGGTACGCTGAGAATTGGGATCCGTAGAGAGAAGGTTTATACTGTATGGGTCGTAGCTGGATGGTCGTTCTTACCAAATCATCCTGCCCTTTCGCAATGCGCCCGTTCGCAATCACCTTCCCTCGGATCCAACTTTCGTCTTGGTTTCGGCACCAGTAGGACCAACCTTCCGAACGAATGTGCATATCGCGTACACCCCTACTCTCTATTCTCTTCATCCTCGCTCAGCTCTTTCCGTAACACATCCTGGCTGACGTGGACGCGCGGCCGGGTCAGGTGTCTGGCTTCATACGCCAATTTCTCAAGAGCGCGTGCCATGCTATTTTGTCAAGTGGAATATGCAGTCTTAGCCTGTCGTTCGTGGTCGGACAATGCTGTCTAGAACTCAGGTACGTCTTTCATGATACCGCTCCAGAAATCGACTCGGTTGCTCAACTCGACTTGGGACAGTGCTACTTTCCCCAATCCATATTCGACGTTCGACCGCCAAGACGTGGCTGCGACTTCACATATTCGTCCTTCACACCATTTCCGTGTTCACATCAATAAAGAGATACCCGTTTAAACGGGGCAGTGGACGAGTCGAAAGACTCGTGCGCCGCATCGCCGACACGTTCTCCGCCATCGCTGTCAGACCCAGGTCGGCGCCGGATGACTAGCGGCTAGGAACGTTTCGGGCATTCAAACTCATCACTTCTGTGCTTCTTCTAAATATTCTTACTTTCTTGTTTATTTGAATTCCCTTCGCTTTCGTGCTTCGAGGAGCTCGGTGCCACCCCTAGATATGATGTTATATACAGTTTGTATACCCGTATTCCGACTGTTTACTTAGATGTCATTAAATTGTTGACTAAATGCGAGGGAAAACTGGACAGTACGACCGGCACTGCATATTTAGCTTCACGGACGATGTGACTTAGCTCACAACGCTCAGATAATAATTTTCACCGCTCCCAAGTTTAACGTAGCGGCAACGAAAGAAACTTCCTCAACACGGATGGACTATGACCGTTCCTTGAGCATGGGCATGGCCTCGCCCAGGTCCTCGACGTCTACGCAGGGGCTGAGCAACGTACGGGTTCCGTGGAAACATAGATATATGAAGGAATAAGTAAAACTGACTCCGTCGAGCGTGAATGTTAAATGTGAGCATCCATTCACAGCACAACAGCAACGAAACTACAGCTTGTACTCCAATTGCAGCGGATCGCAGCAACGGCAAATATCACGCACCGAGCCTTGCTCGAAATACTGCCTGTGGGGCATGCAGGGATAGCAAGGTTGACAAGGACACCTACAAGACTGATTAGCACAATAACTTATGGTGGGATCCGGAAGCTGGTAGTCCCGCATGCAGAACGGGACACGCGCATGCCAAACTTTCCAGATAAGAATCTATACCTACGCCTTAGTCCAATGCTTGCCCCTTAAAAATATCTGTTCGCCGTCCACGATGGCGCAGCAGAAGCAACATCCATCTACGATGTGTCTGCGCGCCAGCCGCGTCATTCTGTCCACCGAGAGATAGACGGGACTAGAGCGCATACACATACATAGTGCAATGGAAAGTTTCCGCGCAGCTGCGGCAGTGCTTGAGGAGCCGATAAGTAAATCCAGGGACACGTTACTCGGCTAGAGGTGATGGATAACCAAATGTGCGGCGTGTCCGAGAGGGGGGTGGGGTGCACGGTGTCGACCTCTGAAGAGCCATGGTTTGAGCCCTTGAGGGTGCGATCCTAGAGGTTCTCTCAGATGAGGACGCCTCAGGGAGATACCTGAAATACCTGAGGCAGAGGGATAAGGGTGAAGGACAATTCGCAGGCACTACGCGCAGCGTTATTTGCGCATGTTGAATTCTGAAGCTGTTGGCAAACAAATGCAAACAATGATTTCCCACTCCGCTTGAAGATTATACCGCACGAATTGGCCAACGCACGGGCGTGCTTCAAGTTTCCTCCCGCTTCTGGCCTGGCCCCTTCCCCGTCCCTTGAGATGATCGTCCTTGTTATAGAGCAATTGGGCTCATGTTGGTTCGAGCCTGTCAGAAAGAAGCCTTGTCAACCTCGGCTTCGTACCAGGTATGTACGCTCCATTTGCGAAATTTTATTCTATAATCTCTCGAAAAAGAATGTCTCCTGATGGACGAAGCCTTACCATTGTGACGACTTCTGAGCTTCTGTATTTTGTCCTGATTTCTTGTGTCGAATGGGGGTTCATTTCATTTTCTGAAATCACGATTCGGATATATGTATATGGGTGAGTGACTTGGAGACCTCGTCTTGGAGGAGCACCAGGAACGACGGCTCGGGGCGAAAGCTGTGAGTGAGCTCTCGGCCGACATCTCACTCCTGATCGACAAATTCCAGGTGTCCGAAGATGTACTCCATTTTGTCACGTCCTTTCACTTCCCTCGAGCTCATGTCGTACGAGTTGTAGGGCGACCCCGACCCCTTCGCGACCGCGCGCATATGGCTTCTCAACGATTTCAGCTGGATGGGCATCCGAACAAGGTGTAGCGTTCAACGGCGTGCAGCTGACGCGCCCCGCGGTCTGGATTGTGTAGGACCGGGTGCTGCTGGATACCACGGACACCACGATGCGCAGGCGCGAACACCGGAGGCGGGAAACTGCTGGAGTCAGAGGACCATGAGTCTACTGAACCGCGTTCTTCGCATTAGTTATTTTTCTGTCTTACTCTGCGAGGCTTCGTACTGGTGCCCTCGCTATAGCACGGAACGCTTCGCTCTGCTTGGACAGTTTCATGGCCAGGATGTAATGTCCTACGTCCGCGGACTGTTTAAGGTAGGCTTGGCATATTTATTATTATCAACCAAGGCAGGGTATATTTAGGTCTGCATATCGTTATACTGCCTGGACTCTTGTTGCTCACTACATTCCCAGAATTGTCCACGACAAGAATAGTACTCTTTATTCACGTTACAGTGCGCAGGATACTAAACGGATGGACTGTAGAGGTGAGTCGCGCTCCTCAGACGACGTAATCACATGGTTTGCTGCGAACGCGGATGTAGCACCTCCTGAGTGCTTGACGACGTTCTTCCACCACCGCGGCGCGAGACTAACTCGCCTTCTCGAATTATACCCTTGTGTACTTGCCCATATTTCGTCGGAGACACGAATCATGCTCCCTACCTCTTTGCGTACCGCCTTGGACCTCAAGAAGGCCATAGAGTTAGCTGCAAAATATCTCAAGCCGATAGGGGTATGCGAGACCAAGCAAGACAATTTCAAAGAGGATTACGGATTCGAGAGGCACGAAGAGACGGATGATGAAGATGACAACGATGAAGGTACGCAGAATGGCTCTGCCCGTAATAAGGTTTGTCTCTCCTTTCCACACCAATCGTTTTCTCAGAATAACATACCTGAGCGGTGATATCTTACTGTAGGCCCTCTTCAAAGAGCTTGCCGAGATCTATAATAATGACGGACGTGATCATTGGATCGGCATATTGGCCGAGCCGTTCAGGCTTACCATCACTCGTCCCGGTTGCGAATTCTCTGGTGATATTGTACCCAGTCCAGACGAAAGCAGCGCAGGAACGAATAACAAAGGTGAAAAGCCTAAAGTGACCAGCCGGAGCTCACTTACGAAACAGCTGAAGAAGTGGTTCGAAAACGGCGCGGTCTCCGGCTTCGGGGACGTTCGTGCACAGGAGACCAAAGTCGATGCAAATGTCCGGGACGCACGCGAGATTCCTGCCTCGGAGTTCAGCATTTCTCCGAACCTTATCGAGCAGGTCGAAAAATGCTGGGGTGACCATTTCGTCCCAGGCTCCGTGCGCGTCGAACCGTACAAGATCCACATGTACGGCCCCGGTGGCAAGTTCAAGGCCCACAGAGATACGCCAGAGATGAACCTAGTTGGCACCTTCCTCGTTGGCCTTGGGGACACAACCAAAAAGGGGTGTCTGTTCATCGGCAATGACATCTACGGTACCGATGAGGACGATGGACATGAAGCGACGCGCGGTAGTTGGATTGCCTTCCACCCTGACGTCCAGCATAAAGTCGCAGAGATTGAGAGCGGATACCGAGCTGTAATCGCATTCAAGCTCTTCCGCAAGGAAATAGAAGAGGGGAGGCAGACGTCCGTTGTGCGCAAGAAGATGGAAAAGGTCTTGGAGAAGATGCAGGCCCCGTACGGTGTGCTCCTCGCGCATGAGTACTGCATTGGAACCACCATGCTCTGCGGCTTAGACAATATCCTGAACGAGGCCGCTCATGCGATAGCGCAGAAGAAGAAGTTGAACATTCACTTCCTCCCAGTACTGGCGAAGGTCACAGCCGAAGCATACCGCACGGGTGACATGGAGGAGGTCAACGCCGATGCCAAAGTCTATCCCTTCACGCAGGCCCATGTTGAGTCGTTGCTAAAGGAGGTTGAACGGAAGGCTACAGCTCGTTACCAGTTTGAGAAGGAGTTCCCTGGCGACAAGGATGAAAACGAACAAGATTCAGGCTCGAATCTGGTCGAGATTAAATGGTTGGTCAACGCAGTCGATATTCCTTTCTATTCCGTCGATTACGATAAGGCTGCGGTCACCTGGACGCGCATCGAGGAGGAGGGTGCCGAGTACACGGGAAACGATGCCAAGCCATATACCGAAGATAGCATCTACTTCTCCTACGGTATGATCGTCCTTCCGCATGTGCGCGGAAAGAAGAGGGCTCTGGATGAAGGTGGAAACAGTGACGCTTCGGGTTCGTCTCGGAAGCGCTCTTGAGACTCTAGTTCCGAAGCATTCCGTTTACGAGCTACGTGATTATGCAGACAGCAATAATGAGTATCTGCGAGTATATGTTCCCGAAGAATACAGGTACTTTTGGCGGCTACCGCAAACATTAGTGAGAATTACTCGGTGAAGTCAGAGGGAGTGATAGATTAGCCATAAGTCACGCCAATCGTTCGAATACAAGCTCTCGCGACCCAAAAGTGAAAGCGTCCTTTTTACACAGTCATTGCGCGCTATTTGTTTTGTGGCAATTCTGTCCGCTCTCACCTCGAGCGAGTTTCCGCCGCCACCTGGCGGCCTTTCGAGTCCTTCCTATTAGGTCTGTAGTGGTCTTGTCCTGCAGGCAAGGCTGTGCGATATGGTCTAAGTATGTGGAGGTTCGGACCACCCTCGAATCACATTGTCGATTTTCAGAAGTTCTCGCTGTCGTATTAGCTTTTCTGGACGCCGTCGAAGCAACGATGGGTGATCTGCCGCTGAGCCGTCCCTAGGAAACAGACCTGCAACATCTCAGAATCACGCCCGAGGACCGAAAAGAAAGAAAAAACATAACCTGTTTTCTCAGCTGGCAAAATAATGTCCAGTTGATCCTGGAGGATTCTCGTCCTTGGCTTCCGGCGGTGTACGATGAGCCACTCGATGAGGTGGATACGCTCCAGAAGAGTCGATTTGACTTCCAGCGATGACCGCAAGGGAGTGTGCGTGCTCATCATAAGTTGCATACGAACGGAACACCACTGGGCCTGTCGATGTTTGACTTCAGGCTGTCTCCTCAGTAGGCCGAGCGACTTTCACCACTAAGGGCGGCCGTCTACAGCGAGCGGAGATACAGCATGATTGAATGGGTCGAGTCCGAGTCCGAAGTGGGGGAAATTCAGCGTTCTAATTACGCGTAATATCAGAAACTTCTCACAAATTCAATGGAAGTAGGGAGACCTTTCTAGCCTGGAAATGCATGCCATAAGAAATGGGCAGTGCGCGAGCAAGGAAGAATTACCTATCACGGAAATCGATTCAACACAGCACTACCGTGCTGCACATTTCGGAAACAGACCGAGCCCTCCGTAGGCGTTCACAGCCAAGAGGGCGCACGGGCGCGCGGATTGAGTTGGTCGTTGCTCTGAAACGGAAGATACATGTATAGCACGAAAGTCACCAGTAAAACGACAAGTACTCGACAGGAATCTGGTTGTACACGCAGGCACCCCGGGCAGCGCCAGAGCTCAATCCGACGCCGACGCATTGTCGACCGACCAAGTGCCGTACAGCACCGGATCGTAAAGCTGTGCAAAATATTCAAAAAGGGCACTCGACATGGCCAACCCGTTTTCCCCGCACTCCACGCACTGCAGCACCGCACAATACCAATGAACAACCATCACCCGGGCAGGAAGAGAAGGGGGTAACACGCACAACGTCCAGGATCACCGCGGTCATCGAATGGGAGCCCACCTGGACGGTGATCGGGACGTTGCAGTTCGGGCCCGGGAAGCCCGTGCCGAATTGCTGTGTGGCACCATTTCAACGCGGACCAGGAGCGAAATGCAAGCCACTTACGGACGCGTCCAACGCTACGAACTGGCGACGAGAGCGCTCGATAAAGAGCTTTAAACAAGAACATACTACTCACAAAGTTGGAGTTTATGGGGCCACAAGCGAGTCTTCACGAGGGATGTTATTGCTGGGCCGGGAAAATAAAGAGACAACGGTGCTCACGGTCCGCCAACATAATGTATGAATGCTGCGTTCATATAGGGACCGCCGACAGTCGCACGGCGCGCAACGTCGCCGGGCGTACGACGTGCGACTTCGTCGATGCCCGGACCACGACCAAGGACAGCTGCATTGAGCGGATTGGCGGCAACCAGAGGCAGAGCGATCGAGAGCAGAGCTCCAAATAAGCCAGACGTACGCATTTCGAGAGATACGGGGGCTGTTCCTACGATAGACTGCAACTGCACGAGGTCACAAATGCAAACGCCGTGAAGCTTTGTCCGGGAGAGGCGTCGGATACAACTGGCGGGGGAAGCAGGTGACGGGGATCGTTTCCTCTCTTATACCCAGTGGTAGCATACAAACGCTCCGTCATGTGTGGGACACGCAGAGTTCGAAGAGGAAGTAGGCTGAGCGCAGATACATCCCACCTGTCCAAATATCCTGATGCGTCTTGGAAGCCAGCTGTATCGGGATAACGAGGCGACCATCGCGCACGAACGGAGCCGCCCCCTGGCGTTCCACGCGTGGGCACGCCGACATGTCCGGGTGGCTCCCCATACGCGGCTGCCTGGCAAATTAGCGAAACCTACCGCGCCACATGTAAGAAACGGCGACCGGCTTCCCAGAGAGGTGTGACCCATGTCGTACCGTTATGACTCGCAGTCAGCGACCTGCCGTGATCTCCCCAGCGGCGACGCGACGAAGTCTCGCGATAGATCGTCTGGCTTCGTAATTAAACGCCCTCGGCCACATTTCCGCTCGCCGATCTGTAAACCGTACAAGGATGACGTTCAAACTTCATTGCGGGAATCCATCGAGCGAGAATCGCAGGAATCTAGCACTGAGTTGGCAGACGGCGGAAGCAACGCAACCTGCGGAAGACGAGAGAGGTAGGGACGCGGCTCGTACACTGGGCGCGAGTGAGTACGTACCCAGTGCATCGCGTCGCGCCACTCAGAATATTTCTTTCGATGACAGCTCGCGTTCTTAGGCGAAGGCGATAAGTAGCGGGCGCGTAAGAGGGGGGGGGGCAGCTCCCTCCGTAACAGCGTACGCGATCTGACGCGGTGCGCGCCGGTGGTCGACGTTCGATCCCTCGCGTTTTCTTCTCAGGAGCCTGAGCACGAGGCGCGGGCGCGTCTGCACCGACACAACGGAGCAAGTCAGAGTCGGAGGTGGGCTCTACCGCCCAATACCGATCAGAGATTTCTCACAAACGACAAGCGAGCCTGGAAAAATCTACCATAACAAGAAAACGACACCGGGCAGGCGAAGATCCTCGCGGGCCCGCGTGAACACGCCGCACAGACAGACCGAGACCGCGCCCGCAGGCGTTCTGAAGTTCGTATATCCCACGACATCGCGCGAGCGCACGCGCAGATCGAGCCGAAAAAATCGAGTCCCAGCACCGCACACCATAATATCCGACCGTTCACGTTCGTTGCCCGAAACCACGCGCAACACGAACAACTCTCGAACAAAAACGCTACGTACGCGACCGCGAGCACGCACCCCGACCCCGACGCGTCGTCAACCCACCAAGTGCCCGTCAGCACACCGTCGCCGAGGGGCGCAAAGTACTCGAACAAGCCTTCCGACAGATCCAGCCCGTACAGCCACGCATCGCATCGCCGCACACGATCCACCCAACAAGCACGAGACACACGCACCCCGTCTGTGATCTCCGCGCTCGCCGAGAGGCGTTAGACAAAGAGAGAGCGTCAAGAACGAGCACGGACCACTCCTACTCGCAAGGTTGCTAGGAACGTTCGCGACCCTTCACGCGCACGCCCAAAACGGACGCCATTCGGTATTCGGCGGCCGTCCGTCCGCCGGGCGCGGAAATAAAACCGAGGAGACGAGGCTACGCACAGCCCGGGAGTGTACCGCATGAGCTCGCGATGCGTCGAGCAGACCGAGGTCGCGAGCAGAGCGCTGGACAAGCTCGGGGTGCGCATCCCGCAGACAAGCCAATCCCTGCGGCAGACCGCGGCCTCAACCGGACAGCCGCGAGAGGGCAAGCTGGGGAGGGGGGAGACGAACGGCGGGAGAGGCGGCTCGTCCTCTCTTCTATCCACCCGCGGTACCACAGCGGGCGCAGAGGTCGGAGGAAGGAAGGACGAGAGGTCCCCGACGCCGGGATAACGAGAGACGCGCGGATGCCCCGTACGCGGCGGACCATAAACCTGGCAGCAACGGAGGGGGGAAGGCACCCTTCCACAAAACAAAAGAAAGGCCAAATGCGGGAAATAGCGGCAGCAGCAGCAGCAGCAGCATACGCGCTCAACCGGCCGCGCGCAAGACGACGCCAGGCTTCCAGTTCCAAGTTCCAAGTTCCAAGCTCGCAAGAATCGCGAATATCCCCCTGTACCCCGTATCCCGCGCGCACGGACGATCACACTCGAGGTGGCTTGTGAACGCCCAGTTAGCAGACGCCAGGGGGGGGGGGGTAGTTCGTACACCGCCAACACAGACGCCAGCCCACCCGACGCGCAAGCCGACGAGCGAGGCTCACCCAACAAGGCCACCGGGGGTATCCCGCACTCTCGACTCGCATCGGGTTTCCGTGGGGGGGCTCGGGGTGGCTCACGGGTGTGCTGTGTGCCGCTTACGGCGGCCCGCGCTTGTGTTGGCGTGGTCCGTGGCGATGCGCTGGGTGGGGGGAGGGCTTTAGACAGATGGGAATTCGGCTAGCGGGGGGGCTGCGGGGGACGAATATACGGCGTTGTGGGGAAGACGAAGCGTGCGGCGCGAGGAGGGATGCATGATGCATGAAAAAAGCCGTATGTGTATACTGCGAGTACGCGATCGAAGAGGGGAGATTTTGGGGGACACCGGGGGGAGATGGAGGTGGTGGCGTGCAAGCCATATCCGTCTGCGCAGCCCCGGGATCCCGGATTGATTGATATCGGCATCGTCCCGCCGCGGGCGGGAGCACCTTCGCTATCCGCACAGACATTCCTGGCATGTCGAGTACGAAGCTCGAAGCGTGAAGGCTTGACGGGCAGGTGGGGCCATGGGTAGAGCGAGCGTGTGCACGCGGAGGTGGGAGCGGGAACTACTACGATATTTCAGGTTGGACGTGCATGGAGCAGGGGCTTGAAGGCCGGATGGACACGCCACGCGTTGGAACTCACGCTCGGCGGCTCGCGCATCTGCGTTGACGTGTGGTGAAAGACGGAGATGCGATACGTGCCACGGGGATATACAAATGGGAACTCGAGCAGCGAGGCGCGCGCGGGGAGAAGACGGGGTCGTGGGTGAGGCGAAGCTTGCGGCGCGAGGACGGATGGCAGGCAGAGGGCGGAGCCGGTCGCAGCGGGGAGACGAGGCAGGGGACTTACCTGGGACATCGGGCGAGGCGTGCAAGCGTGGGCCACGTCAGAGCTCACTGGACATGACGTGCACGGAGAGCGGAGGCCGCTGTGGGGCGGGCAGGGTCGGAGAGACAGGGACCGGGAGGAGCTGTAGTGGGAGCAAGAAGACCGGAGGGGAACAATGGGCGGTGGCGCGGCCATCACGGAAGCTCGACAGCGTGAGAACGCGCGCGTCGACGGCGGCGCTGGCAGCGGACGGGCGGGCAGCGGTGTCGGCGACGCTAGGTGGGCCGAGGAGAGGGGAGAGAGGCCAGGACTGGGGGTCTGGGCGGGCGCTCGAGGAGGCGCGGTGGGGGCGCGTCATGGAATGAATGGTTACGTCAGCGGGCGGTGCGGAGGGTTCCCTTGGGTGGAGCGCCTCCCAGCCCAGCAGCATCCCTCTGCCCCTCACCGTCCCCTCTCCCTCCTCCACCCACCCGTCCCCCGATATCCATGGCCTCCAGGAATCCCGTACGTCTCATCTGCCCCCACCGCGCCGCACCCCGCTCACGCTCGCCCGCAGATCCGGAGAAAGCTCGTCATTGTCGGTGATGGTCCGTCCCTGCTCGCTCGCTCGCCCGCCGTTACCTGCCGCTGACTCTCTCGCAGGCGCATGCGGCAAGACCTCGCTGCTCTGCTCGTTCGCGCTCGGAGAGTTCCCCAAGGAATACGTGAGTCGCCCCCGCGCCCCGCTCTGACCAACGCCCGCTGACCCGCCGCAGCAACCCAGTGAGTCCCGCCCCTTCCCCCGCGCCGCCCCTGCTGTACGCTGCCCCCGCGCCCCCCAGCCATCTTTGAAAACTACGTCGCCGAGATCCGCCTCGACGGCAAGCCCGTGCAGCTCGCGCTCTGGGACACTGCGTGCGTCCCCCCCTTCGTCCCCTTGTCCGCCCGCTGATCGTGCGCAGTGGCCAGGAAGAGTACGAGCGGCTGCGGCCCATGTCCTACTCCAAATCCCACGTCATCCTCATCGCCTTCGCCATCGACACTCCCGACTCGCTCGACAACGTCTCCGTCAAGGTGCGTCCTCGTCCCTGCCTCCTCCGTGTCACACTTGCGTTCTGACCATCCCACCCCACGCAGTGGATAGAAGAAGTCCGCTCCATCTGCGGGCCATCCATCCCCGTCATCCTCGTCGGCTGCAAATCCGACCTGCGGCCCCCAGAAAGTACGTTCCCCCTCCCCCTCACACCCCACCTGCCACCTGCCACCCACTAACGCCGAACGCTCACCCCCCCCCCCCCCCCACTACCCCCGCACACAGACTCCCCGCAAGCCTCCTCCCCCGCCTTCGTCTCGCGCGGCGACGCCGAGCGCGTCGCGCAGGAAATCGGCGCGCGCGCGTACAAGGAGTGCAGCGCGCTGCGCATCGAGGGCGTCGACGACGTCTTCGAGGCCGCGACGCGCGCGAGCATGCTCATGCGCGAGGGCGTCCCCGCCCACGTGCCCCCCGCGCACCACGAGCGCGGCCGCCGCGAGCGCGACTGGGACGCCGCGCGCTGCTGCGTCGTGTGCTAGCCCCGCCCCCGCCCCCCCGCGTGCTTTTTTTGAGCTGTTGTTGTGGAGCTGTTGTTGGTTTTTTTTTCTCTTGTGGATCGCGCGCACGGACGGACTCGCGTACGAGTATATGAGTTATATGAGTACACACGTACGGGTTATCTTACACGGTCTCGGCTACATCCCATCCCATCCCATCCCACGTTTTCGGCTCACATCCGGATCCGGCTATATATATATTAAATGCACAGTACTGACCGCTATCCGTCGCGCCCCGTCCCGTGTGGCTGGTTTGCTTGGCGGTTCGGGGTGGAATGCGGTTGTGGTGTGGTGTGGTGTGGTGGGGATGTGTGGAGGAGAGGAGAGGAGGAAGGGAGGGGGGGACGTACTTGCTATAGGGCACTACTATACCGCTAGGATGTTCTTGCTTGCTTGCTCGCTTTGCTTGGTGGAGGACATTGTCGCGCGCGCGAGCTGGCGCGCCGGAGCGCGGATTCCCGTCGCGGGCGCTGGACGACGTGCGCCGGTAGATATCATATCCTGCTCGCTTGCGCGGTGCGCGATCAGGCCTTCAGGCCTCAGGAGCGAGGGCCGCTGTACACACGTCCAGCGGGAACACGCACCGGTCGTTTGCATATTAACATCCCCGTCGTGGACGATTTGCAAGCTCCGAGCGGTGGACGCGGCGGACCGAAGCACTGCAGGCGGACCGTATGCCGTGGCAGCCTCGCTCGACCTATACGCGCCCCCGTCGGCCCCACTCCGCGATGCGACGCGTCGGTGGCTGTACGGTGGCTCGACGTGCGGGTACGGTATCGAAATCGTGAATCATGAATTGTGAATCGTGAATCGCGACGCCTTCTCGTGTCCACATATAATCTATAGCGGTCTGTCCGTCCCGCAGTGTCCCTCCACCTCGTCATAATATATATGAGCGTCGCCATTCCGGTCCGGGAAGGCCGTTCGCCTCACCGTGACGTGTCTCGACAAACCAATTGCAAGTCGGCAGAGTGCGTGCGTGCGTGCGTGTGTCCGTTCTGCCCGTGCCCATGGCTTCTTCCGATTTACGAGGTGGCGCATAAAGCCCGGCCGTGAGGCGAATGGATGGGACCTGCTCGCAACTGTACTCCAGCCTTTTCTGAATTAACTCGTCCAGTATGTACTTGTGCCAGCCCGATGGATCCGGGTCGACCCAGAAGCGCGTCGGATTGACAGCGATCGTGCGTACAATAAGACGGCGACGAGACGTCTCCAACGACATCGCACCGGTTGACTCGAGTGGTCGCGGATTGGACTCAAGGCTACGAATTGCTCCCGCCGAACAGAGTCCGTCCATCCGTTATTGTTCGCAGTGCTCAGGGATTCCGCAGAAGCTATCAAAAAACGAATATACGGACACATAAATACGGACACGGACACGCCTGAGATTCGATAGTACGCCCTCCGTGTCCAGCCTTTCCACTCCTCGAGATTTAATATTTACCTTGCCTCTCTCATACCCACACTCAGTGGAAATGGACGCGCTCTTCACCATCGCTGCTCCCGTTCCCGCCGAGAACGCAGATTCCACCACAGCTCTAGTAGATCTTGACACCGGCACCGGTCCTAATGATGGCGGCTGCATCGTCGCCTGAAACCCTGGTATGTATCTGCCGCAGTTTGGCATCGAGAGCATGTCGTGACGGACATTATTGCTGTGCTTTTCAAGCCTTTTCCCGCTATCGCATCCATCACATGCACACATCATGACAACTCCTTCGTCACTTCGACATTTTTTTTGCTTTTTTGCACTTTATGCTAAATTGCCTGATTGACACTGCACAATTATACTTCGGCCGAGAGGACAGGATTAAAGGACGGCGGTCGTGTCTCTCGCTGCATATACGGTGTTAGTCCATTTGCGATCCGGTTTACCCAGTCTAGTTTGTTCTACTGATACTATAGTGGTGTACGATTTCTGAGGGCCCAATTCGTGTCGTTGTGGCTGTTCTTAACTGGAAATGCTTTTTCAACGCGAGAAACAGCGGCTAGTAGTTAGTTACAAAGTGTGATAATGACTGCCCCTGGCAAGGGGATCGCTGTCCCGAGGCCGCTGAATGATGCCCTGTGCCGACTGTCTTCCTTGTCGAGAGGCTGATCCATGTGCCTGTGCAGGTTGCACGAAGTATGTAAACACTAACCCGTCCTTGCCCACTGTATACTTGATCGTTCGACACAGGTTGATTGCGAAGCACTCGAGCAGGTCTTGTGCATCTGCGTCCCGGCACGTCTCATCAACCCGTCAGGTTGTCCACAGCAACGATGCATGCATGGCGCAAAAATGCGACAAACGTGTAGACGAGTTCCGAAGCCTCACAAGTAAGGAAACTACGATCGGAGGGTGCATGTGCAACTGCCAAATACGTGTGCTGCGTGAGTTCGCCATGTGCGATACTTATGCGGAGGTACACAACTTGGTAGCATTCACATTTTGCCGCTTGGGCCTCAGCCTCCTGGCGGTATCGTGGAGAAGCTGAGAAACACAGGCACACCGCACCCGCCAGCTCCCACCAGCAAGCACCCGCGTCTGTATTTCTGTTGATACCACGCCACTGTTTCCTCCGCAGTAAGTTCGAGGAAATGACACGAGGGTGGCACGGGCATGCCGTATCCCTGGCTGAAAACAGATCTCAAAAAGGACTCTGCCACCGAGTCGCGGATCCATCGTATCATCGGAACTTGTCAGAAACTCAGCAGACGAACTTGAAGTGGACTGCCAGTGCACAGGATATATTCCTGGGCTTTAAGTGGAGCGTGGCGGTTCTCCATTCTTGCCCACAGTAGTGCAACGGTTTGTAACAAAGGAAGATACGAGATATACGTGCACCTTCCTCAGCCACAAGCGCGCCTTGCTCGGGACTCGACGTGCGGATACGGTATCGAAAGTGAAAGCGAAAACGAAATCGTGAATCGCGACGTCTTCTCGTGTCCATATATATATACATATGCACGATCCTGCTCTGACCCCGTCGGGGTATCAAGTGCGGCGAAGCAGGCACGGACGACGCTCGGCGCCGCCTCATCTCAAATATATCAACCCTCCTCCCCTCGTATGCGTCTACCCCGCTTCAGCCTCGACGGCACGCCCGCCCTGCCTCGGAGCCGCTCACCACCCCGTTTGGAGCGCACGCCGAGGCTGGCGCCGGCGGAGAGCAGGGGGAAGGCTAGAGGCTGTCCTCACCCATATGCGTGGCGCGCTCATACTGCTCGGGTCCGTCGAGTCCGGAATCGGCGAGCGTGCCCACTGGGGAAGTGGGTTGGAGGTGCAGGTAAAAATAAAAAATAAAAATAAAGGAAGGTGGGCGACTCACCGCCCTCACCACCTTCTCGTCTGACGCGAGGCAGCGTCTCTTCCAGAAACGCAAAGCCGAGCGTTCCAACTGCGAATGCGGGTCAAGCCCCGCTCGTACAGGTGCGAGTAGAAAAAGAAAGGAAAGGCGGCGACTCACCGGCCCGACCTCATCGTCCACTTCGACGCGAGGCGACGTCCCTTCAAGTTCCAGGCGCGGGGATATAGTCTGGAAAGCCATCATCTTCCGATTCGTGCGAACGGTGAGGCGACAGCAGAGGATGAGAGTGGCACATGTATGAAAAGGGTGGAATTTCGCGTCCGGCGAGAAGGCGAGCCGCTGCTGCAAATGCCAATCGCCATGGCTTTGCGGAGCGAAGGAGGGACGCGTCTGTGGCTGATGCTGACGGCCCGCGCGGCGCGGTTACTGCTCGCACAATCCTGCTCTGTGGTATCCAGCAAGAGGGGGTTGAAAGTACAACTTCAAACGTCGTAGGACCACCTTCGCAAATAATGAGTACGGCAGGCGGGCCCACAGGTATGACGGTTGAGCAAAAAATGTAAATTAGGGGCAGGATGGCGAAGCAGACTATACACATGACGGTCTAAATTAGATACACATTGTTAACAACGCCAAGTGAAATTGAGAAACGAGTACCCATCTCGAGACATTGATCCTCCTCTCACCGTCTACGGCTCGATAGCGGTAGAGTTGCCATCTATTTGGTCTAAATGTGCCTATAAGACCCATATGCGCATCGTCTCGTCGTCGCTGCTCGAGATGACGCGCTTCGCGTCCGGCGAGAAGGTAAGCACCTGCACACAGTCCTTATGGCCCGGCTTGAACGCGGCGACAGCCGCGCCCGTGTCGAGGTTCCATACGCGCACGACGTTGTCTCGCGCGGTGGTGCACGCGAGCTTCCCGTCGTGCGAGATCGCGGCGATGGTCAGCCGGTCTTTCGCGTTCGCGGTGGCGTCGATGCTACGCAGGACCTCCCCGCTGTACGAGTCGCACACCTTCACCCGCCCCTCCGCACCGACGGACAGCACCTGCTGCCCGTCCTCCGAGAACATTGCATGATCACGATTTTCTTGTGCTCACGCAGTGTGACGAGCGCCTCCCCCGTCTCCGCGCGCCATACCCGCACAGTCCCCTCCGCGCCCGTCACCACCCGCAGCGCGTCCGGCGAGAACGCGACCGTGTAGAGTATGCCAACGTACCCCTGCAGCAAGGACAGCTGCGCCCCGCTCGCCACGTCCCACACGCCCGCCGTATAATCCCCAGCCGCCGTCGCCACGCGTTGCCCGTCTGCCGAGAACACGATGCAATTGATGATCGAGGTATGTCCGCCCAGCAGATGCGTCGTCTCCCCTTTCTCCACATCCGCACAGTGGTGCCTGCGGCCGTCCGGCGCCCACGCGCAGTTGTACACGAAATTCTTGTGGCCCTTCAGCCGCCCGCACACCGCCGCGCCGCCCGCCAATCGCGGACTGAGTTTCCAGAGAAGCACGACCTCATCCCCTGCGGACAGTAGCATGAGCCCGTCGGGCGACACTCCGAGCGCGCACACCGCCATTTTGTGTGCCTCGTGCGGCGCAAGCTGCACCCCGCCTTGTGCGTCCCGCACAGTGACCATCACGGTGCCGTTGTGGGAGCCGCACACGACGATGCCGTCTGCGGCGAAGAGTTAGTGCGCGCCATGAGAGGAGAGGAGACAAGGGGATAGTGTAAACGCTGCACTCACCTCGAAGTGGCTACTCATGATGAAGTGTATGTGTGTTTGGGTGAATGTGTGTCAACGTCAACGAAAGGGAGGATTGGTGCGTTTGTGAACTCAAGTACTATACCGGTACCTTCAACTGGGTTTGAGTTGTTCGACTTTATATCCGATTCCAGGCCACGCTCGGCACCGCCACACCATGGTAGTTGCCATGGAATAGCAATGAGCTTCTGCAGACGCTTAGCAACCAATTCGAGTGCTTTGCTTCGTTATGACGTAGTCGACCAAACGTTCATTGTTCTTCAGTGGTGACCCCGCCACCCACCTCGAGGCTGAACGTGAGGGAAGCTAAAGGTCATTACGCTTGAAAGCGCGTCCATCCCAACAAAAGCGAATCCCTCCTCTTCATCATGGCCGCAAATTCAAACAACTTGCCTTGGTATTGTCCCAAGCGCCGTACCATAAAGGCTTTCGGATGTCGGTGGGTCGTACATAATCGGGAAAGCTCCCTCACTGGTACATCCAGTAATCAGTATTGAACCCGCCCTTACTATAGCTTGTACGACGTTGGACATGTCAGTGAAGTGATCAGACCCATTGGCTCACCCCTCCGGCATTCGCACCAACGTAGTATTTCTGCTATGATAAACGGGGCGTTCCTGGAGACTTCGTGTCAAGATTGATGTTGAACATTGAGGTTGTACGCCCGGGGGGACTCGGACGTTGAAGTTGTCCGAAACTTCAGCGCCGATTTGGGCCCCCTGCTGATTGAGGGATGGAGGGGTGATAACGGATACGTACTGCGTAAGATATTTTGCTTCCTTCGTTGGGTGCTCTAACCGTTATACGCTGTGGACGTTCGCGACCCGCCTCGCCATGCAATAACTTTTGTGTGTGTATGCGTCTGCTACCAGTATTCGCGGAGCAAGGCGGGCCGCCGCGACGCACTTATGGCTGATGTAGGACCAAGAAAAAAGGGTAGGACCACCGCAAACTGGCATATAACAAGGATGGCTAGGAAGAATATACATACGACGGTCGAAATAAGACATACGTTAGTAACAACACGAAGTGAAATCGAGAAACGAGTACCCGCATCTCAAGACATAAATACTCCTCTCAGTCTACTGCTCGATAGCGGTAGAATTGCCGTCTACTCGGCCTTGACCATCTTCTCCTCCACGTTCCAAATACGCATCGTCCCGTCGTCCCCGGACGAGACGACGCGCTTCCCGTCCGGCGAGAAGATAAGCACCTGCACACTGTCCTCATGGCCCTCGAACGCGGCGACAGCCGCGCCCGTGTCGAGGTCCCATACGTGAACGACGTGGTCGCTCGCCGCGGTGCACGCGAGCTTCCCGTCCCGCGAGACCACACCAGCGTTCAGCCCGTCGTTCGTACCCGCAGTCGCGTCGATGCTGCGCAGGACCTCCGCGCCGAACGAGTCACACACCTTCACGACCCCATCCGAGCCGACGGACAGCACCCGCTTCCCGTCCTCCGAGAACACTGCATGATGCAACATGCCCGCGTGCTCGCGCAGCGTCACGAGCTCCTCCCCCGTCTCCGCGCGCCATACCCGCGCTGTCCCGTCGTCCCCGCCCGTCACCACCCGCCGCCCGTCCGGCGAGAATGCAACCATGTAGACCACGCTTTCGTGCCCCCGCAACACGGACAGCTTCGCCCCGCTCGCCACGTCCCACACGCGCGACGTAGAATCCGCGGCCGCCGTCGCCACACGCTGCCCGTCCGCCGAGAACGCGACCCACATGATCATCGTGGTATGCCCCCGCAGAACATGCGTCGTCTCTCGCGTCTTCACATCCCACAGCCGTGCGGTTAAGTCTACCGCTCCCGTCACTACCGTGCGCCCGTCCGGCGTCCACGCGATCGCGACCACGAAATCTTCGTGGCCCTCCAGCTGCCCGCGCACCACCGCGCCGCCCTCGGACTTCGGGTTGAGGTCCCAGAGGTGCACGACCTTGTCGCGTCCTGCGGACAGCAGTGCACGCCCGTCGGGCGACACGCCGATCGCGCATACCGCGTCTGTGTGCGCCTTGTGCACTGCGAGCTGTCGCCCTCTCTCCGCATCCCACAAAGTGAGGGTGCCTTCCTCGGAGCCGTTCACGACGACGCCATCTGCAGCGCAGGCGAGGGAGGTGACCCCTCCTGTCGTCTATGAGGAAGAGTTGGTGAGCACCATGAGAGGAGAGGAGGAGAGGAGGAACAGCGTAAATGTGCACTCACCCGAAAAATTCGGTCCATATGTGTGTGTGGGTTTAGGTGAGAGTGTGTGTATCAACGTTAACGAAAGGGAAGAGTGAACTCAAAGTATACCTTTGACTCACGTTAAGTTGTTCGATTTATATCAGATTCCAGGCCAGGCTCGGCACCGCCACACCGTGGTAGTGCCATGGAATAGCAATGAGGTGCTGCAGCTGCATTGACGTCGCTTAGGAACCAATCCGAGTGCTTTGCTTCATTATGACGTAGTCGACCAAGTGTTCATTGTTCTTCAGTGGTGACCCCGCCACACACCGCCACCTCGAGGCTGAACGTGGGAGCTGGAAGGCCATTACGCTTGAAAGCGCGGCCACCCATCCACAAAAGCGAATCTCTCCTCTTCGTCATGGCCTCAAATTCAAGCAACTTGTGGCGATTTGCTTTCCTGCAAGTATTTTTCTAAGCGCCGCACCATGAAGGATTTCGGACGTCAGCGAGTCATTTGTAATCTGGAAAGCTCCCTCACTGGTACATCCAGTAGTCAGTATTGAATCCGCCGCTAGTATGGCATTGGACACGTCAGTGAAGATAGAAGTGATCAGACCCATAGGCTTAACCCGTCCGGCATTTGCGACAACGTAGTGTTTCTGCTACGACAAACGTGGCGTCCCTGCAGAGTTTATGTCGAGATTGATGTTGAACATTGAGTCGTACACCGGGAGCGACTCGGACAGTCGGACGAAGTCTTTCTGAAAGTTGAGCGCGGATTTGTGCGTGATGGCCGAGGGATGGCTGAGGAGTGGTAAGGGAGAGGCGTACTGCGTGGTGTATTTTGCTTGCTTGGGTGCTTTAGGAGCTTTGCGCTACGGACATACGCGACTCGCTGTGCACTACTTTGTGGGTGTGCCTAAATGTGATTGTCACTGCTGCCAACGGTCGCGGAGCAAGGCGGGCCGCCGGGACGCGCTTGTGGCTGAGGAAGGTGCACGTATATCTCGTATCTTCCTTCGTTACAAACTGTTGTAGTGGGCTCTACTGTCGGCAAGAATGGGGAACCGCCACGCTCCACTTGAAGCCCAGGAATATATCCTGTGCACTGGCAGTCCACTTCAAGTTCGTCTGCTGAGTTTCTGACAAGTTCCGATGATACGATGGATCTGCGACTCAGCAGAGTCCTTTTCGAGATCTGTTATCAGTCAGAGATACGGTATGCCCCTGCCCTCGTGTCATTTCCTCGAACTTACTGCGAAGAAAACGGTGGCATGGTATCAATAGAAATACCGACGCTGGTGCTTGCTGGTGAGAGCTGGCAGGTGCGGTGTGCCTGTGTTTCTCAGCTTCTCCACGATACCACTGGGAGGCTGAGGCCCAAGTGGCAAATGTGAATGCTACCAAGTTGTTACCAAGTTGTGTACCTCCGCATAGGTATCGCACACAGCGAACTCACGCAGCACACGTGTTTACAGTTGCACATGCACCCTCCGATCGTAGTTTCCTTACCTATGAGGCTTCGGAACTTGTTTAAATGTTTGTCGCATTTCTGCGCTATGCGTGCATTGAGGCTGTGGACAACCAGATGGATTAATGAGACATGCCGGGATGCAGATGCACAACGAACACAGCTGAATGCCATTGAGTCGTGGAACTCTGGAAGGGACAACTAGCTAAGCTCTCCGTCGCGGTTCGCAGTTCTCGTATAGCAGAAGTAGATCTAGTTATTTTAGTCCTCGGTGTATGGGCTGCGTGCACCGTCAGAGGGAACCGAGGAAAGAGGATTATTATCACTCCATCTGAAAATGCCGACAACCACTGTCCTCGAACGAACTTCAGGCGCACGGCGTGCATTCCAGACATCCGTGGATGAAGATATGCATGAGATAGTATGTAGATGGCAGGATGTAGATAGAGATGATCCGTGGTGACTGTGTTGAAACGTGACGAGTGCACGAAAGCGGAGGAGAAATAATGCGGTAGATGGTAGCAAAGCATGATATTACCCGTTAACATATCCGTTGACCGTGTCGGAAATTATTAGAGGTCAGTCGCGGGTGCACCATGCATAATTTCTGCAGCATCCCGTGGCCAGTGGAGGACTATGACGTATATGCAACCCTTATGATTTAGTTCCGTTGTGGTATGTAGTACACAAGCCTAGCAAAACAGAACATAGAGATGACGGTCGACAGATACAAGGCAGAAACCCGCATAGTATATAAACACACTTCCTCTCGCCTCTACTCGGCCTTGACCATCTTCTCCTCCACGTTCCATATACGCATCGTCCCGTCGTCCCCGGACGAGACGACGCGCTTCGCGTCCGGCGAGAAGGTAAGCACCTGCACACTGTCCTCATGGCCCTCGAACGCGGCGACAGCCGCGCCCGTGACGAGGTCCCATACGCGAACAACGTGGTCGCTCGCCGCGGTGCACGCGAGCTTCCCGTCCCGCGAGATCACACCAATGTTCAGCCCGTCGTCCGTACCCGCAGTCGCGTCGATGCTGCGCAGGACCTCCGCGCCGAACGAGTCGCACACCTTCACCTGCCCCTCCCCGCCGACGGACAGCACCTGCTTCCCATCCTCCGAGAACACGGCATGATACACAATGCCTGCGTGCTCACGCAGCGTCACGAGCTCCTCCCCCGTCTCCGCGCGCCATACCCGCGCGGTCCCGTCGTCCGCGCCCGTCACCACCCGCCGCCCGTCCGGCGAGAATGCAACTGTGTAGACCACGCTCTCGTGCCCCCGCAACACGGACAGCTCCGCCCCGCTCGCCACGTCCCACACCCGCGCCGTACAGTCAGCGGCCGCCGTCGCCACACGCTGCCCGTCCGCCGAGAACGCGACCCACATGATCATCGCGGTATGCCCCCGCAGAACATGCGTCGTCTCCCGCGTCTCCACATCCCACAGCCGTGCGGTGAAGTCTACCGCTCCCGTCACGACCGTACGTCCATCCGGTGCCCAAGCGAATGCATCCACGAACCCTTCGTGGCCCTCCAGCTGCCCGCGCACCACCGCGCCGCCCTCGGACTTCGGGTTGAGGTCCCAGAGGAGCACGACCTCGTCGCGTCCTGCGGACAGCAGCGCGCGCCCGTCGGGCGACACGCCGATCGCGCATATCCCGTCTGTGTGCGCCTCGTGCACTGCGAGCTGCCGCCCGCTTTCCGCATCCCACAAAGTGAGGGTGCCTTCCTCGGAGCCGCTCACGACGACGCCATCTGCCGCGCAGGCGAGAGTGGTGACCCCGCCCGTTGTCTGAACCAGCACGTGCTTAGAACCGTGCGCCTGCGGCTTGGACGAGCCCTCCTCCAGGCTGGGCTCGGACGACTGTTGAAGCTCGGGGATATCCGCGCTGCTGGGCAAGGTGCCGCTGGGTTCTGCAGAATTATCGCTGCCGCCAATCTCAGCGGGAGCTGGGGCGAAGGACAACTCCTGCGCAGGGATATCCACACCGCTGGGCCCAGCGGGGTCGCTGGCGCCGCCGGATTCAGCAGGTTCGGCGTTGCTTGTGACAGGCTCAGCTGGAGCAAGAACGTCCGCGGTACTCTGGACTACAGTCTGCTCGGGGACACTGGCTGGCGGGTCGAGTCCGAAAGTTTCCAAAGAGAGCGAGCCGACTGAGAATCGGGTTGAGCCTCGTTGTTCAGGTAGAAAGGCGCTCCACTCACCGCCCTCCTCATTCACTTCGATGTCAGGCAAAGTCTGTTCCAAAAAAGCGGGGATGTCATCCGGGATATAGTTGTTCTTCATGCCGAACGTGAGTGGACAGTGGATGCGATGATAGCGACGCTACTTACGCACAGCGTGCCCAGATCTTCGGTACTAGCCACTGCGACCTCTGCTTCGGAATGCTGTTGGATGCTGGATCAATAAAGAATTATCCGGAGTACCCGATGGTAAATACCTTCAGAATGTAATTTAGAACGAAATCTACAGGATCCCAAGGCTGCGTGCAGTTGTCAGCGGTGCAGTAACATCACTGGAAGCAGCGACCCTACCTCGTGTGCAGATGGGACTTGTTCAACGACATCATCGTCTGAATCAGTGCCACTCGTCTCTGCGACCACACCTTCACCGTGCTCTTCGGCGGCCCGGGATGGGTCTCGTGGTTCCGCAGCAGCTTTGAGTGTCTTGATGAAACCGAACCGAGTCTTCATCTTGAAATAATGGATGAAGATAGACTGGTCCATTGCAAGATCCCCGCCGCGCTGCGAATTCACTCCCCACTCCAAGCCGGGCGGGCCGAGGCGATATTCAAATTGAGGATACGACACCCGCGTCGCGCTCACACTGAATGCCGCGGTTGCAGGTCCAAAGTTGCCATTGAACGAAAGGGTTGCAGATCTGCCACTCTGGGTGATTGCGGCCACAGCCCATTGTGTCGTCTTCTCATGTCCTGATATGAAGATGAAATCATCCTCCGTAAATTCTTTGCCTTTAAAAGCCACCCATTCCTGGCAGTTGGACACTATGTAGTTTCCGATGCGCCTCCTGGATTTGTCCTGCCACTCCGCCACAGCAGGGCCGGTGAGGACGAGCATGGCACCCTGATCCTCTGCGCACTCGAACTGCACCCCTCCGCCGACGGCGTTACTGATGCAGTCGATGAGCAGTTTAGTAAAAGTAAAGAGTCCACGAAACGTTTACTCACACGGTGGCATTTGCACTGACGCCGGTGCCTTTCACGGTCCTACTACATAGCACATTGGCCATGATCGATTGGTGAAGCCGATACCGATCTTTAAGGTCAAGCACCAGAGGCTTGAAGTCGTCCGGGAGGGTGTACCTTGCATTTACAGCATGATCTTTGGGGTAAGTGGCGTTGAACATGGGCTTAAATCCGCCCCGCGAAATGTAGCCGACGTCGCCGATGAGGATTTCCCCATGGTCGCCAGGTTCTGGGGCCCACAGCGGGTAGCCGTGTTTGTAACGAAAGAGACACTTTGAATACACTTCGGGGGCAGAGGCAGGCATCGTTGCGATCGCGGGAGATCAGGACGAACAATGGGGGGCACCCACAGGTTGATATGGGATCGATATCCAGACAAGCGCCGAGCATGAACACTAGAACCACGCACGGGGGCTGTGGTACAGCTAGACACGTTGACGATAGAAGAAGGGATGCACGGGATGCCCTGCAGCGCATACTCCACCGCCGCAGTCGTCCACCGAGCTTTGGAACTCCAGATAGGACCTGATACGCGGCATGCCTCGCTTCGCCAAGTGCCACGAGCGACTGAATCGGCTGTGTCTGCAGGGAAATGACGTTTAATAAATGTAATCGTAATCGAACCAAAGCTGTTGGATGCCATGGTCAACTCGAATCTGGTGGTCGCTGGTCAACGCCGGTCAACGCGCGAGTGTCACATTCTCGTGGGGTGTCACGCGTAACACTGTTAGGACGCCAAAGAGACATTAATTGCTCACTCACTCAGCTTGCGAAACGCAATCTTTCTTTAGAGAATTTCTGGCACTCCTTATCGATGACAATCGACGTAGGGTAAGTTATCTGATGGTCCATGGATTTCGATGCGAGATGTATATCGCGTGATCAACCGTGTGCGGTGCTAACTTAGGTCCTTTTTGTACTGCCTCTTGAGTGATAGAATCATCGGCGTTGTGCGCCTACGACAATCGTCTGTGCATTGCCTACACAGCTGTACGCTCGTAAACCTCTGGTGACGCCCCATCCCGCTGACGTCTACGTAGAGTACATCAACATGGTCCCGTTCTAGGCTGAGCTCGTCATCGGTGATATCCGAGTCGGGCGCGGATTCCACCTCATCTTCAGCGCCATGTACCCTGAAGACATGGACTGAATGAACGTCAAGCACGAGGCCTCTAATTCGATCTTGAGCGCTGGATTCATCACAAGGGTCGGATAGTAAGTTGTTCGTCTTAATTTGCTATCCATCTCGATGACGCTTGTAGTCCCAGGTGGCTGTTAAACTGTCTTCAAGTTTTGTCGATCAATGCGAGTTTCAGTGCATGCAAGGCACGGCGCTTTCCTGGCCCTGCCACCTCATCTGCAGCAAGTTAGATCGACAGAACTTATTTGCCTATCCGAAAGTGAAGCTTTGTTTCTGGGCGTGGGTGAAGGGGACCGAGCCGAGTATACTGTGCACGTTTCTGAAGGAGGGCGATCTGTTCAGGCTCACGTCCACCGGTGATTTTAGAGATGCGGATGACTCACTTCACTTCTCAGCTCGACAGCGGTATACCCCGACTCGCATGGAAGACTTACACAATACCAACGCGCGAGTCAGTGTGTTTTTCCTACAGCAAGCGTGGCGTTTGTCGTTTCTACGCACGATGAATGTCATTCGAGCTGATGCTGAATCTCAGGATCATCGCTTCGTCGGTACAACGAAGCGCGAGGCGGCTCGGTTGCGGCTGTGGATACTGGAACCCGAGATTCCATGAACGAAGCTAATTATGTATCACTTGAGGGCAAGTGAGTTCTCGCTGCGCGTGATTTTATGTCGGGTTGATACATGTGCGCAGCTGTGGGATTTCGTCGAATTCCTGCTGGATCACATCCTCGTAGTGCCACCATTCGTGATGTACACCCCGCCAGACTCGCAGGGGTATGTGACAACATACTGAAGCAGAGGTCGCGAATGCCGACTTTTAATATATCATCAGTCTCTGCAAGTGGCGATTTTCTTTATCCCATCGATTTATGTCTCACTTTGGCGCGCAGGACAATGACGTAGATAAGTCTCTGGACAGAAGCGACCCCCTCTCGTAACACCATGCCAACTACGGACTGCATCACGTCCACTGAATGAGGCCCCAGGTGCCGTCGAGTCCGATCGCCGTTATATCACGCGAGGCGGGAACAGCATATTCACACTTTGAAGACACGCTGCCATTTATGAGCCCCCTCGTTTGCCGCAGGGCAATTTTCTATTCTGTGTCAATGTGCTCTTGCTGTGCTTTCACGGTTGTAGAGCAAGGAACGCGGCTCTATCCGACACAGTTCCGTTACGCAACGATCCCTCTGTTCGTTGTGGTATTGGTGGTATCTGGTATACAAGACTGGTAGAGCAGAATGTAGAGATAACGGCCAGCATTCACAAGGCCAACAAACCGAGAAACGAGCCGCCATATCGCAATATTCTACCCCTTGCCGTCTACTCGGGCTTGATCATCTTCTCGTCCTCAATGTCCCATATGCGCATCGTACCGTGGTCTGCCGTCGAGATGAGGTTCTTCGCGTCCGGGGAGAAGATGAGGAGCCTGACACTGTCGTCATGTCCCTCGAACGCAGCAACGGCCGTGCCGTGGCGAGGTCCCACACGCGCACGATGTTATCGTCCGCGGCGGTGCACCCGAGCTTCCCGTCGCACGAGAATGCAGCGGCGTTGATGGCGTCGGCCGCGGTGGTGTCAATGCTGCGTAGGACCTTCCCGCCGACTGAGTCGCACACCTTCACGAGACCCTGTTGGTCAACGGACAGCACCCTCTTCCCATCCGCGGAGAACACCGCCCTCCACACCTGGCCCGCATGCTCGCGCAGAGTGACGAGCTCCTCGCCCGTCTCCGCGTGCCACACGCGCGCGGTCCCGTCGTCCGCAGCCGTTACCATCCGCTGCGCGTTCGGCGCGAATACGATCGTATAGATCACGCCCTCGTGGCCTCGCAGCACGGACAGCTCTGCCCCGCTCACTACATCCTATACACGTGCCAAGCAGTCCGCGCCTGCTGTTCCCACCCGCCCCCCGCCTGCCGAGAACTGCACGCACGTAATTATCGCCGTGTGCCCCCGCAGCACGTGGGTTGTTCCCTGCGCCGCCGAATCCCAGAGCGATACAGTGTAGTCGGCCGATCCCATTGCAATTGTGCGCCCATTAGGCGCGATTGCGAGTGCGTTCACGGACCCATCGTGCCCATCCCGCCGCCCGCGCACCGTCACTCCCTCGGCATGCACATCCCAGACTAACACGAGCCCGTCGCGCGCGGCAGACAGGAGGGTGTGCCCATCAGGTGATACCGCAAGCGCGCAAATTGAGTTGGTGTGCTCCGTGATGGTGTCCAGTTCCCGCCCGCTCTCTACGTCCCAGAGCATCAGCGAACCATCATCTGAGCCGCTCACGACGAGTGTCTCGCTGGGCACACACACAAACGAGGTGCCACCAGTCATTTGTATAAGGTTGTGTGCTTCCTGCTTGGACAAGCGGTCGTCCATGCTTTTGCAAACCATGCATGTAAGACGTACCTGAAAACAAAACTCTTGAATGCCTGTAGGCAACGAAAAACAAGATGCCTATTGATAACCGGCTCCATTCTCTCCTGCAAGTATTAAGTCTATCTGGGGACCTGAGGTGTGTACCTGCGAATCACCGTTGTAGTTGCCAGATATGTTTCATTTGCGACATTCTGAAGCAAGTCCTTGGTGATGAGAATTTTGTAATATGTTTGTGCAGATCCTATCATAATCACTGCGAGAAGGACTTGCGATGTCAGGGCCAGGTTTCTGTACAGTTGGCAGATGCAATTATTCTGCAGAAATGCTGTGAGTGCCTCTGCAACTAGTTGGGGCTCAGGGTTTTCTGTTGAACCCAAGTGCTGCAAATATCATGTCAGAGCTGTGGTATTAACAGAAACTGAGGATAGGTGAGCAAACCTTATTCTCCTGAACCAGGAGAAGCATATGATCTGCCATTTTGAGCATGATGTCAGGGGTCAAGGCAATGCCAACTCACACATCTGGAAACCTAAGTTTTTCTTATACACAATTTCTCTGATCAGCACAGTAGCTAGCTGCACTGAAGAGTGTTTTAGTGCAAACACTCTTCAGTGCAGCTAGCTACTGTGCTGATCAGAGAAGTATTGTGTATAAGAAAAACTTAGGTTTCCAGATGTGTGAGTTGGCATTGCCTTGACCCCTGACATCATGCTCAAAATGGCAGATCATATGCTTCTCCTGGTTCAGGAGAATAAGGTTTGCTCACCTATCCTCAGTTTCTGTTAATACCACAGCTCTGACATGATATTTGCAGCACTTGGGTTCAACAGAAAACCCTGAGCCCCAACTAGTTGCAGAGGCACTCACAGCATTTCTGCAGAATAATTGCATCTGCCAACTGTACAGAAACCTGGCCCTGACATCGCAAGTCCTTCTCGCAGTGATTATGATAGGATCTGCACAAACATATTACAAAATTCTCATCACCAAGGACTTGCTTCAGAATGTCATGAATGAAACATATCCAGCAACTGCAATTCAGGCTCCTGACTCATCACAGGCATAAGGCGATGCAGAAAGTCATAGACGGGGTCTGACAGGGCTTGACAACTAATATTATCAGTGAGCATTTCAGCATAAATAGACATAGTGGTGTCGACAAACAGGTCTGGAAGCTGTTACAACGCTCCCCACTTGTGGCGCGTCTTTTCTTTTTCTTTTCCTTGTTCCCTTTACGTTACCAGACCACGTAATCCAACACGTGACTCATTGGAGCGCAACCTCCGATTCTTTACCCAGATGTCCAGAACCCCTAGTCTAGGGTTACACCGGATCCAACTCCGGACCTTCTTCTTATCGCGCATGCAAGATGTGCATGTACGCCTCATCTTTACCTCATTCTGATACACGACTCGTTATCCCCATTAGTACTGATTATCTCTCACGACCTTACTCAGCTTTCTCATGCATATTACTTCCTCGCTGGTACCTTGCCCAGATATCGTTTCACCTTATCTAGCCAATGAACGATCTCGCATTACTGCGTAGTACTGAGGATACCTTTTGTATAAGTAGATGACCTTGTCGAGCTGGATCCCCATCTCGACCTGGTTACCATTAAACCAGCTTTTCACTTGCCTTTGACTGAGATCGACCGTCAGTAGCAGACAGCTACTACGAGTCATAAGAACGAACTCTGATCGACCTTCAGTGCGAGGACATCGCCAGAAGTGTCACTTGAACGGACTTGTGTCTTAGACTAAGACCTTGTCTCGTGACGACTCGACTAGACGCTCGTGTTTCGCTGCCGCGTAACATTAGGTCGAGATCTTATTACTCTCTGTGACTTCCTAGAGTCCAACAACGAACTACCGACCGGACCGAACCTTGAAGACTGAACGATACACCCGATTCGATTGCTAAAGCACCGTTTGAGATTACTCTGTAATCGAGGTAGCTGAAGGGATAGACTGATCACTCATCTTCGGAGAGGGGTCTGTCCGAGAGACCAATAGGCCGAGGAGGCTGAGGTAATCACTCGAGCAATCAGCAAATAGGTGTATCAGTTTGAAGACAGAAGACACTCTACGGGCTTGTTAGCCGACGACGAACGAACCCACTTAGTTAAGGACGGTGTGCAGTCTACGTGTAGACATAGGCCACACAGAAGAATTTATCCACGCTGGATTTTAACTATATCAACCCGACCGCTCTTCCAGAGCAGTACCGCGAGCACCTCCCATCCCAAGCGGAGTGGAGCACAGAACGAAACGCACATTTCATAGGAGGAAGGCCTGTATTCATCAGGCCAGACAATCACAACTTCGACTACTCCCCAGAGGAATTTGAAAGGACACTTCCCCATAATCTTGGTGGAATAGTGCTCCAGCACATCGCAGACAGCGGTATAACGACCTCCTATCCAGGAGAAAGACCAGACGCCCCTTGGAACCCCCCTGCCCAGAATCCTGTACCCCAACCGACTCTTGCACCAATCGTACCCGATTACATGCCACCGATGGCTACAGTTACCATGGATGAAGGACGTCACCATGTTAGCCAGAAGGAACTTGGTTTTAGAAAACCCGAGATCTTCAACGGTTCAGACCGTTCGAAGCTTAGGGAATTTATAAACCAATGCAAGAACTACATGGCCGGAAATAGCCATGTCTACCAGGAGGACAATCAGAAGATCGCATTCGTGCTATCGCACATGCAAGGAGAAACAGCAGGATCATGGGCACAGAGCTTCATAGAAACGGAACTCACCAATGACGACTTCCTTTCTTATGGGAGTTGGAGAGACTTCATTGCGAGTGTGAACAAAGCATTTGGCGATGAAAATATTGAAGAAACCGCTCGTACCTTGCTGCGTAACATCAAGCAAGGAACTCGTACTGCGGACGACTACATTGCCGAATTCCGATCGCTTGAATCCAAGGCGAAACTAGAAGATGCCGGAAATATCGAGTATTTCAAGTGGGGGCTTAACGACCCACTCCGACAAAGGATATATGGGATGGAAAGCATGCCCAAGACACTTGACAAGTGGTACGAATACGCCTCGCGGTTTGACAACCAATGGAGATCTGCTCAGATCTTCAAGCGAGGAGCCACTACAACGACACGAGGAAAGGGCCGATCTGTCCATCGTCCCTACTACTCGGCTTCTGCAAAGGATCTAAATGCGATGGATGTTGATCGTGTCAATATCTCGCGCTTATCCCCAGATGAGCGACAAAAGAGAATGAAAGAAGGATTATGTTTCCTATGCGGAAAGAAGGGCCATATAGCCAACGACAGACAATTCCACCCTCAGTCTGGAAGTTTCACCCGTGCTAGGACGATACAGCCCGGGTTAGACACAGACACGATCACATGGATCAAGAAGATGCGAGAAGACCTCGCACAGAAGAAGGAGACGTCGAAGGAAGAAACCAGAGAGGAACAGATCGCCTATGTGCGAAACGTCTTCAACGACATGACTGACAAAGAACGAACCCAATTGGGTTTTTGAGACGACGGCCACTAGTAATGCATGGACCGTCGCATCTTACCGTATCTCCCCTCGTTATTTGTAACACTAGCGGAAATTCAATCACTGTGAATATTTCGTTGGGAGAGAAGGAAGACGTTACAACAGAAGCCTTGATCGATTCCGGTGCAGCCGAAACGTTCATGAACATTCGTTTTGCGGAAGAAAACGATTTCATCAGATGGGAATTACCGAAACCGATTACAGTCATGAATGCAGATGGCACACCAAATCAAATGGGTACCATTACTCATTGCACCTGGAAGATGATGAAAATCGGAGGAAGGAAGACGCTTACTCGCTTCCTCTTGACCGGCATTGGCAAAGAAAACATACTTCTCGGCATGCCGTGGCTTAAACGCCTCAATCCGATGATCAACTGGGAAACCGGTGACTTTTGGTTTGGTAAAGAGGCCAAATGGCCACCGAAACCCACCGTCGAAGATGCACCAGATAAAGAAGTTTCGATTTTCAAGGAAGATGGACTCCCAGAGCTAATCACCACCGAAACTTCCCCTACCTCGTTTGGGCATTCGGAATCTATCAGAGAAATCATGACCGATAACACTGAGCGTGGCGAGTTACCCGCAGTGCAGAATGATACCGAACTAGATGACCTACCATCAGAATCCCCTATGGATCAGCTCGATGATGACGAGCTAGTTATATCCTATATCGCAGGAGAGCCAGTCATTGGGATATTTGAACCCATCAGGAAGGAGTCACCTTTGACGAATGAAGAGACTGAAACCGCAGTCTTCACCATACGAAGAGGCCCCGCCATTGGAAGAATGACACACAGTACTCGATCCCCATTATTCTGTAATGCACAGAATACGGTCTTTTACAAACCATCCGGTAAATCACAAGAATTGGCACAACAGGCACACAAAGAAGCATCAGCTGTAGACAAACCCAAAACCGTCGAGGAGTTGGTCCCCAACTACCTCCACGATTTGAAGTCCGTCTTTGAAAAGAAAGCAGCTGAACGCTTTCCAGAAACCAGGCCTTGGGACCATGCCATTGACTTGAAACCCGATTTTATTCCACGCAACTGTAAAGTCTATCCGTTATCGCTCAAAGAACAAGGAGCGATGGATGACTTCCTGGAAGAAAATCTGCGAAAAGGATACATCCGACCGTCGAAATCTCCCATGGCTTCACCATTTTTCTTCGTAGGAAAGAAAGACAGAGCACTACGTCCCTGTCAGGATTACCGATACCTGAATGAAGGGACAGTGAAGAACGCCTATCCTCTTCCGCTCATCTCTGACCTTATGGATCAATTCAAAGGCGCATCGATCTTTACGAAAATGGATTTACGCTCCGGATATAACAACGTCAGAATCAAAGATGGTGACCAATGGAAGGGCGCATTTAAGACAAATCGCGGACTTTTCGAACCTATGGTCATGTTCTTTGGACTCTGCAACTCCCCGGCGACTTTCCAAATGATGATGAACGC